GCATTATGTGCACACCGGTTTGGCCTATTTGATTCCATGGACCGCCTTCTTGCTCAACAGAACTGCTTTGGATACTATGTACGCCTATGGGCTCTTGTTTTGAGGGCAATAGGGTGATATGTGCACTTGTCTGACCCTGTTCTAAAGGACTGGAGCTTGCTGGTGCCGACTTGGGTGAGCTCGTCGAATGGCTCATTGTGTGAACATTTTCTACATTTCCAGGAGTTGATTTGGCGGGCATTTGTTGAGTGTGAAGAGAAGCTTGACCCTCCTGATGACTGTAGACGCCGATGGAGGCCGAGGAGGATGATTGCGCTCCATGAACAGGCGAAGCCTCACCAAAACGCATCAGTCGAGTGGCCATAGGAGGCCCGTCAGGTAACGTGTAGCCCTGTGCGCTAGCGGACGTAGACCCAAAGTGAAGCTGAATTGACTTTTGTGCTCCTTGAGGTGCTGAGGCAGGATGGCCTTGCAGATGGATTCGGGAAGTATCGGCCTGGTTAGTAGACGGAAAGCGCGTTTGGATACTAGTCCATCCCGACTGTCCAGCGCCGACTATGTTTCCTGTCGGGGAAGGTTGCTGACCAGACAATGCCACTGTAGGTACAGACAAACTTTCTTCATCACCAGCTTGCCGGTAAGCGCTAGTACCTGCTGAGATCCTGGCAGCATCGCCGGCAGTGGCGCTTACTCCACTTGCTGTGCCATGTCCTGCACTTTCCGTCTCTCGGCTCTCAACCGCAATACGTGTGGACCCAGGAGTGACTAAAACGGCTGGAACAGGTGGCACGACGATGGGGCTTTTTCCACTCATGTCAACTTGAGGGGTCGACGGAATCGTTAGAGGCTGCTGTGTTTGCTCTACAGAAACTTTGGCCCCTTTTCTGCTTAGCTGAGTTCTCCCTGATGACGTCCTTGTGTATTTTACCACTACAAAAGAATAGAAAAAAAGACATTTAGAACACAACGAATAAGGTGAAAACATCCTGTCGGCACGAAGCCTCGCGAGATTCCGTGTTTCACCCCAGATTCTTACCTGTTATGGCTTCGGGTTCTGACAGCACCGGCAATACAAGCACACGCACACACAAATCTTGCTCATGATCATAGTGACCACTGCATTCGCCGAACTAGCAAGATTCATCTAAAGGCTGTTGTCACTGTACGACCAGTATCCATGGTTTACGCAGCGAACTGCGTAGGGGTTCATGTGGAACATGCAGACGCACCGTCGACTATCGACAGGACAAGCTCTATCACCTGAGAGCTCATTCTTTTTGGAAGTCCAGCATACGCTTTTCCCGCGCTCTGCAACTTGACCCTTTCGTTTATCGCCGCTGGTGGCTCTTGCAAGTGCGTTGCTGTTAGCTCCGCCTTAAGCCTTGCAACGCTGCACACGAGCGTGTCCAGGTCTTGCAGAGCCAAAAACGCCTCCGCCGTTGTTTCCTCAGCGTTCTTCGCCTTCGAGCTAAGACGATTTAGGGCCTCTTCAATGATGGAGACGCAGAAGGGTGTCAGCGGCTGGGCGAAAGAACTACCTTGGACGAGAACAGACCTAAGTAAACCCTCAACTTCGCCGGGGTCAAGCTGGATCGACGTGCCCTCAGTTGTTGCAGCAGCAGCAGACACGATTCCACCGAGAAGCTCCTTAGCCATTCCCGTAAGCAAAAGCGCTGAGCAGCAGAAAACAAAGGCAAGGATGCAAGGATCAGCAATGTGCAAGTGCATACTCGATTCCGAAGCATTACCAAAAACATTTGACTTGAAAAAGTTCTAGCAACGTAAGGTGCACCCAAAATAATAAATCTGATCGTCACGCTTACTTCCAGCCTGAAGGTAGAGGGCCGCTGAACAAGCACAGCAACAGCGGAAAGAAAGCACGCCTCACGCCTTACATATCAGTCCCTCAGAGCATACGCTCAGTATCGCTGTCATTCTAGTCAGAAAGCTCCTGGACTCCGGTTTTGCTGCATGCTACCTTGGCTAGTGCTGCGCTGCACTTCGAAGACGAGCACTTACCATCAAATATTTTCATTGCTGCTGTAGTCACCCCCGCCAAGCCACCTTCAGCGCAGTCGTAACAATCAAAGAAAAATACAAGCTTGCAGTTCAAAATTAAAGCTGCAAGCTACTTTGATTTGAACGTTTCGCAACCACAGAAAGAGTAGCAGGCTCACTGGACCCTCCTGCAGTGTCTCTTGCACGTTGGACTTGCTCGGCGTAGCTCTTCGCAAGCTCTTGTTGGCGAGCCGCCTGATCACCCAGAGAGGGCAGCTGCACCATGCTGGGCGCATCTGTCTGGTTTCCTTTTTTTTCTTTCTTTGATTTACTTTTCTTTCGGCCAGGAAACTTTCCTGAAGAACAAACACACTGCAGCAATAATTGTTTCGTTTAAAGTCTTCGACGTAAAATGGAACTAAACCTCTCGACTCATTCCTTTGTATAGGCTAGATCTAAGGACACTAGCTATGGAGCATTAAGCTATTTTGTCGAGCTGCGGAGACAGAATCATACTGAAGAATTGCTCGAAGAAGAGTGGTACGAGTAACGCACAGCACACGCAAAGACGCTCACTGCTGTTTCCATCGGTCTGTTTCCTGCCTGCCTTTGCTTTTGCACCCATTTTTCCCTTGGCCTTGGACATCCTCTTGAGCTCTTTCGCTTCTGCCTTTCGCTCCTTAAGTGACTTGTGGACAAACTCAGCGCCTTCTGCTCACCCTCAGCACACAGCTCTGCATCATGATAAGAGCCTTCGAAAGCTTGAGCAAAAACATCCACTATAGATGTGTTTAAGTCTACCTTGCATCACCTGTGCTCACCTAGCTGTTGTGCAGTGAGAGTCGCCGCTGCATACTCTCTCAGTGTGATGCAGAAGTGGGTCAAAGATGCTTCTGGTCCGCTACAGTGGCCAGCAGGGTCTTGAAGCGCCCCAACATGGGATTGCTGTGTCTCCACTTCTACTACTCTCAAAAGACGAGCATCTGTAGAAACACGGAAATGTGCACAGTAATGAGTAAAGTGGGCGTATAGCCATCCTTTGGCAGGCCAATTTCCAGTGTTTCACCAGCTCAAAGAAGTCTAGCAGGTGTGTAAATCCACGTAACTTGGACAGGAACATTCGTAGGCCTTTGCTTGCCTTCTTGCAAATGGAAGGAGGCGCCAGCTGAAACCAGAGAGCCTTGAGTGGCGGGTTGCACCTCGAGAGGCCGTGCTGCATAAAGAGAAGATCCAGTTAGCACCTATACTAGCACTCATAAAAATGGCCATAGGGCGAATGAGAAAAGGACCTCCATTCGTCGCCAACAGGCATTTCAAGGACTCAGAGAGGGGCTGAGACCTACGAGCTGCGAGCGCACTTTGAGAAACGCGAGAGATTTCGACGCTCGTGGCACCGAAGTCATGCACAGCTGCAGCACACAAACTGTACCAAAAGGTAGCGGATCTATTGGGCTGTTCATTAGATGTACATGACGCATCAAGCACTTTGCATGCACCCACAGGATTAGGAGAAACCTGTAATCCGATTTTTACTGACCTCCTCTGTGACAACACTTAGCAGTTGAGAGCTACTCTCTTCCATTTTCCTACCTATCTGTTGATTAGCCAAGCAAGGAATGGCTTCCCAGGTAATGTGTAGCACCAGGACAACCGGCAAAACTGCAGCAAAGCTCCAGAGCATCCTACAAAAAGTCTGTTTAGCCCATTACACATCCATTGAAACATAGCAGCATCCTATAAAGTACTGCATTCATGAACAACTCAGGAGAATAAGCGTTGTGTTCCCAGGCGTGGTGCTGCTGTTGATTTATGCTGAGGGCCAAAGTGCTCGCCCATTCCGCTTGGACGAAGAGGGACCCTAGCCAAATGTCTGCGGGCAAAGATTTGCCTGCTTATATGTTAGGCTTTCAATAAAAGCAAAATGTTTTTTGGCATTGGGGTTTGCTGGGAGACTTGAAGGGAAGGCTGCACGCACTGGTCAGACGCGTCATTTTGCGGCAAGTCGGCCGCAGACTACGGCGGCAATCGTTCGGTAGGGACTTCTCAGCTGTGGGAGGGCTTCTCATGTAAATGACCTATATCCAAAATAAATGTAGAAAGTTAACATTGTAAGTGTTTTGAATTAAACAGCGGGGCCTCGTGTGCGGCTGCGCAACACTGGGCCGGTACAGGCAGACCACGGAGGACCTTGTCCCTTCCAGTAGCAAAGACACCGCGGAGGCTCACCCACTTCAACCCTTGGAGCGCTTATTTGATTCATTCACTTCCTGCTCACTTTTATTCAATAGAGCATTAGCAAGCCCAAACGGGACAGGATAAGGAGTGTAGGAAGATGCCAACGGAAAGTTGGAAGTAGAGGGTCGCTGGAGCTGACTACGGGGCTGCTGGTGGCCCGTAAAGCCTTTCCCTTGGCAAGACAGCCCATCGGCGAAGAACCTGACACTGAAATTTGATTTATTGAGGCACTAATGAGTGAGAATATCTCATAAACTACGCTGTAAGTACTTCCCTGAGATTCGAGGAACGGCAGGCACGGAACAGTTCGGCCCCTCCTTGACTCCTGCACTTTCTTACAAAAACGCGGGAGACACTCTGTACGTTTCGTTGCTACCAGCCTCGCACATCAAATATGCGCGTTTTCGGAAGCGGTATGGGCTAGTTACTCCATACAAAACGTGGAGCACCGGAATTAGAATGCGGACACGCCTGCCGTGGAGCCCCCTTTGACCACGTGCAGTGTTTCTCTACACGGCAAATAATATCACTTTGTGATCTGCAAAATAAACTCAGATATCCAAAGTAAGGAAAACAAATAAATAAAAGAAAGGGCCTTAAGCTCGGCGTGACTGCCAGGCAAGGTCTGAAATGAATCTTGCCCCTTTTCTGATTTCCCTGAGCACGCAGGGCCAGATTATGTCTCTCCTCTATGTTGAAAAGCCTAAAAAGGACCACCTCGAGATTTAAAGTGCCCCTCAGGTGTTTGTGCCAACAAAAGACTACTCCTACTGCGGTTGGTGCTTTTGCTGTTGTTCTTCCGCCTCTTTACCCTGTTCTTGCTCCTTTCCAGTCCCCTTCAATATTCCCAAAGCTGCACATTGAAAACGTGCAGAGTGCCTCCCCGGCACCACAGCAGGCGGCGGCAGCCGAGGTCTCAGGACTGGGCGACGCATATGTGGAGCGGTTGCCGGCAAATGTTCACGAGGCTGCTGTTCCTGTTGACGCTGCGACTGCTGCAACTGCCTGGGCACCACACGCGGAGGAAAAAATCGCCCACCTACTACGAATTGCGTCCCCATCTGCTGGCTCTGGGAGTCTTTCTTTGGTTGCTCCAAAGGTAAGCGAATACCCGGAGAACATGAAGGCGACTGTGGTTCGTTAGACACCTGCGGGGAGTCCTTAACCAAATTAGCAGGTTCCTCGTTCACTGCTGCATCTGCAGCAGCTGCTGCTGGCTCTGTAGCTCTCTCTTCTTCCTCCGTATGAAGTTCTTGAACAAACAGGGCCTTATTAATAGAAGCTGCTAGGTCCAGGGCAGGAAAAGATGGCTCATCCAAAAGTACATGCAGCGACGCCCGGTTGCTCCTCTCGGTCAGCTTTGAACTCCCTGTCAGCGCTCGACGTTTGACGTCCGTTCCCTGAATGCCGTTAGAACTGTTTGCTCTTGTGCCTAGAGCTTCTCGGCATCCATTTGGCGGAGCACTGTCTGGAAGCCGCACTATTACAGGCATTTCGTGCTGGTGGGCTTGCTGAATGACGCTACGGTCTCCTGGGACTGCCAGTTGGTCTCTCTGCTGCTTCTGTACTTGCCGCTCTGGCTGCTGCTGCTTCTGTCCTGTGCGCTGGAAAGTCTCTAGCGAGGAGCAGCTTGCGCTTCTTCTCGCTACAGCAGCAACACAACACGGCCACGAAAAGAGGGCGCGTGAAACAGAGGAAAATATGTAGTGCAAGCGGAAGAGTTCCTAAATCACGTATTGTATTCGCTACAGCAACAAAAACGGCAGTTCGGACACAGGACTAATTTCGCCAGTTAATGACGAGCAGCCACACACTAACCCCCAACCGAGAAGATGACGCTACCGTCTCTGTCTAAGGAAATTACAGTTCTGTGTGCATAGGATTAAAGATTTCATTTCGAGCTCTGCAGTTTTCGGCTGTGACTTAAAGCCGTGTGTTAAGCTGACACTCACGGAAATGCGGGTCCCTCTGAATAGTAGAAGAGAAACACGACATGCCTTGTTTTCGTACAGCTTTGGGTGTTCCGCATGCCGCAGTGGCAGGGCCGCTGCATTTCCGTGCCAAGGGAGCCTGCAGCGGAGAGTTGCCTCCTGCTTTTGCTGCTGAAGCTGCGACCGCAGTTTCTATTTTGCGCGTTCCGTCATCTCCACAAGCATTAACAAGAGCCGATGAATCATTTGCTGTTAAGCTAGCAGCCGCAGTAGCGGCTGTTTCCCTTAAGCTCCTGCTGTTGCTGCCGCCGCTGCTGCTACTATTGTTGCCGCTGTTAGTTGCAAGTAGTACAGCATAGCGTTTGGGATGCTGCTGAATGTCCTTAAGTGTTTGCTTAAACGTCACCAGGATGGCAGCCAAAGTCGAAAAAGGAGCAGCCTGCATGATGCCCCCCCAGCCTCCCCCCGTCGCCGCTGTTACAGCAGCAGCTGCTGCTGCTGCTGCTGCACTTGGACGCTGCGGCTCCTCCCCATAAAATCGGGCAAGCTCTGTTACCGTTTCTTTGCTCGCTGCATATCGCTGCCGAATGCGCTCCAAGCCAAGGGCAGCTTCACCGTGCAGACGGCGGAGCCTTTCGAGTTCTGAGGGCCCCCAGGGAACCCCGTGAGGCCTGGCCTGCTGTATTTGCTGTAATAAAAATTGTGTTTCCCTGTAAAGAAGAGCTGCTGCAGCATCCAGCGCCTCATCTGACAGCCTCGCTGCCTCTTCTACCAGCGGCATCTCTTGAGGGAGTTCTTCCAGCTTTAAATCTGGCAGCGACGCCATCTGCAAGCAGCATCCAAAAGCACCGGAAAAAAATAACATGAGAATAATGCCATTCCACGTTGAAAAATCTTGTTGACGGCGGGCGAGGGACTCGCACTCCGTATGACTGGACCATCGGCATAAAGTGCTGGAGTCTCGTTGGCGAGAAATGCCAGTCTGCTATGGCGCCGTGGCATGCCATCAGCAGTACTTCGTAGCACTAATTGGCACTAATTGTTCCTTGTGCACATAAATCACCGAGCCATATGCGCACCAGGTTGACAAGGATGTAATGCAGTGAGCTGAGGCGAGTATCGACGGTGCTGCGAAACTCCATTAGCTTCAGAAGCGAGGTGAGCGCAAAACCCCGGGTGGGTAGGCACTCCATAGAAGCCGCTGCTGCTGCTTCTAAGTCATTTTCCCCCGCTGCTCCCTTATGTTTCCCTCCGTCAACAGCAGCGGCTAGCCGCACTCCATGATTCACGTAGTTGCCCCACTGCAATACTGCCTGCAGCAGCACGCGAAACTTGCGGCTGTTTCGGCCCTAAGTACAGCAGGGAGACCAAACATAAGCAGACCAACAACATGAGATTCAAATAAAGAAGAGGGCGAAAAGAAACTCCATACTACTTGAGCTACAGGAAATCAAAAGCTAGCGAAAAGAAGACTGCTGAACAACGGACGGCATCACCAAGACCAACGTCACCCCCTGTAACGGCAGCGCCAGGCCTTCAGGACAAACCTGTTCGGCAGCACTATCCACGAGATCAAGAGCATCATCCAACTCTTTGATAGTCTTGGGCGCCAATATATCAAAGCGTACAATCCGAATCCTTGAAGAGACAGCGGCAAGTCGTACCAGGGGAAGCATTGCTGCTTCCACATCGCGTAATGGGTAGGAAGTTGCTGTGTCTGCTGCTTCATCTTCTGGCACCTTCTCACTGTACTCCTGTTGCCCCTTCTGCTGCTGGTCCCCATGCTCTAGATACGACCGAAAGCCTTCCATTTCTTCCGGCAGGGGGCACACCTGCTCGAGCCGGTCCAGGAGCTCTAGAGACAGGCCGCTGCTGTCAAGCTTCTCCAGCCGTGCTGCTGCTTCCTGCGAGCAGCAGGAACAGCAACCGCGAAACAGGCCGCCGTGAGGGTTACTATTGTTTCCCGAATCTCAGGACAAGCAAAGAACAGCAGCAGTTGCTGCACAGCAATGTCAGAAACACTGACCACGTGTACAGGAACGCTACGACATCAGCATCCAGAATACCTTGGTTGTGAGAGATAGCCTCGCCAGAACTATTGCAACATTTTGGGCGCGCTTGCTCGATATGATTTTTATCTGCTGCACTTCTGGCTTCTTTGTGCCTCTTCTGGTTGGTGCTGCAGCTGCTGCTGCTGGCTGTGTGCGAGAGAATAGGCGGCTAAGGGCTGCGCCGTCGACCAAGGCCGAGGGTCCTAATGGGCCTAAGGCCGGCATCTCGCTGAAAACAGTGCCCTAAAAACAGACATTAGATGCAGCCAACCTGAGCTCGCAGCTGGCTGCCTTGAATGCAACTGCCTTGCAAGCACAAACTGAGTCCAAAAGCAGCTGCAGAAGTAGGGAAAATTGCGAGGAATACATGCGCTTCATTTACTGCAGCTGCCACTGCTGCACACCTCCTCAGCAGCCTGTAGCAGCAGCGGCTCATACAAAGCTTACGTGAATTTTGTCGCCCGGAAGAGCCTTCCAATGTATCCTGCGACCTAAAGGTAGAGCCGCTTCTGCCGCTGCCTTCTTCTGCATTGCTGCTGCTGCAGCCTTGGGTGGCGGAGGCCTCCTGCCAGCTGGAGGACCCTTTGGTGGAGGCCCCGGAGCCTTCGTCGTAATTGATGATGTGGGGAGGCCTGGGGCATCGGCCCCTGCACTTGCTGATGCTGGTGCTCCAGCCGGTCCTGTCCGAGTTGAAGGAGGTGGCCGACCTGCCGGTGGCTTCCCCGGTGCCTTGGCTTTTGGCGCAGGAGGCACAGCTTTGTCTGCTCCTGCTGCTTGAGCTGGCTCTCTTGATCTCGCTGCTTCTGTTCCCATTTCCGCCTTAGGCGCAGACTTTGGCGAGGGACGAATGCCTTTGGGTGGAGGTCCCGGTGGCTTGGCCTTCAGCAACCCCTTTGAGGCTGCTGGGGACGGCGCAACCGTAACTGCAATGATAGTTGCTGCGGTGGTTGCTGCCTCAGCTGTTAAATGCCCTGTGGCTGCGGCGGGCGAAACGGCCCCGGCTGCTCCACATGCAGCATCTAAGGCTGCATCCGGGGGAAGAGACACATGTAGCAGTCTCCCGTCAGGAAGGCGCAAAGCAAGTACCTGACCGCTTGGTAGTCTTGTTCCTGAAAAAGCAGATGCTGCTGCTGCCGGTACAACTGCTGTAGGTTGTCCTACCGCAGCTCCTGCTAACGCAGCCCCTGCTGCTCTTTCAACTGGCTCCACGGACACCGCAGCCTTTACATCACGAGACTCCGTCTTCGGCTTTTCCTGTATTGGTCCTGGTTCAGAGCTGTTGTGCTGCTGCTGCTGTAGCAACTCCAATTGTTCACAAGACGTATTTGCCACATTGATACCGGACTGGAGCTGCACAGTGGATCCGCTGCATGCACCGCCCGTCTCCGCAAAAGCAGCGCCTAATTGCCGCTCTGGAGCGAAACCAGCAACCAGCACTGTGCAAGTAGAAACAACTTTTGAGCAAGGTATAGGAGTTCCTGAATCATGATTCGCAACATTCTGATCTGCACTAGGACGAGCCGTGACAGCAAGCGTTGCAGTAGAAACACCGCTTTCTGACTCGCAATTAAGCCCCGCTGACGCTCCAATCACAACCAAGTCACCAGGAGCACCAACAGCAGCTACTTCGGCTTCTTTGTGTAGGGAGGCACCAGCAGCGGTAAGGGCTCCTGGTGGACCAAAAGAAGTATCCGGCGGAGCATCAACCACAGAAGGACTGATACCAGGAGCAGCAGCAGCAGCCAACACCGGAGCAGGTGGTGAAATGGGATGATTCAGTGAGTGCAAGACACTGGGAAAAACTAAAGTGTCAGCTTTTGCCTCAACCCAACCACCCTGAGGTCCAGCCGCCTTCACACCAGAAGCTATGTGCAAGCTAGCAGCTGTAGTTTGCACTGCCGCTGCTGTTGCTAATGGCAATGCTGTCTCAACATTTTTAGCTGTAGACGGCACAGGTAGATCGTCGTGGACGGTAGGCATTTCTTCATATATCTGCCGCTGTTGCACGCACTCTTCTTCAACATGCTGCTTTTGAGAATCCCTTGGGTTTTCCTGAGCGGCTGGTCCCAAATCCAGCACCGCAGCCATCGGGGTTGAGCTTGGAGGGTCTTCTGAACTTGAGGATACAAGAAGAGGCACAACGCTTCGGCTGCACACTGGCGCACCCGGAAAAATCCGCGAAACTGAAGGCTTTGCCCTGTTAAAGCTCTGCTGTTGCGCTGTAGCAACAGCAACACATGCTGCTGTAGGGGAGGCGACACTTATGAGCCGTCGGTTCTGGCCAGGCCGCAGCGGGACGGGAGCGATTCGGCTGGGCCTCGGAGCAGGAACTTGCTGCTGTTGCTGCATTGATTGTTGGCGATGCATCACCCACTGCTGCTGCGCGACTGTTGATGCAGCAGCAGTAGCAGTGGAGCCAACTGAAGCTCCTGTTCTACAGTTCCCCTCTAAGTCCTCCCCTCCTTTTGTTACAGCTGCCGCGCACGGCGTCTGCGGCCGCTGCTGCTCTTTCTGCTGCTCTTGCGAACGTCCTGACTCGCTGATAGTCAGTGACGAGGCAGACTCAATCCGGAGCAGCTCCTGCTTCCGCTGTTTCTGCTCCTGGCGACGCAACTGCAAATATTGTGACACCTGCCTGTGAAGAAGGTTTTGTTGTTGCAGCCATGGTGGGGGAAGAGCGTGCTGCAACATGCGGGTTGCATGCAGTGCAGCAGACGCTCCCGAGCCAGCGGCTGCAAAGGAGTACGACAGGAGGCTCAGTGCCATAGAGAATTCATTGCTGCAGAGTTTCAGGGCAACAGCACAGCTGTCACTGCTGCATCCAGACGCCTCCACCAGCATCTGCAGCAGCCGCTGCAGCAAGCCAAAAGCATGAGCAAGCGTACGGGCTAGCAATCACCTGCGCGGCAACGCCGCAGCTGCTTAGTTCCACAAGCGCTGCAGGACGGGTCAGATAGCAAGACTGCCAGTTTCGACCACGAGATGAGTCGAGACAAACGCACACAAGCACCAAAGCAGCAAGCAAGTGACCTTACGGGATCCAGCTGGAGACGGTGTCGGGCGACGAAATCTCTGCGACTTGCTGTGGGCCGCTTGGTGATGTGAAGGTGGCGTTGAGACGTAACTGCTGTTTCTCCTGAGGCTGGTGCGGATGCTGCTCCAGCCGCTGCTGCTGCCTCAGAAGAAGCCAGCTGTGCTCCCTCTGTGATACTCACGCTGCTGCATGTACTGAAGCGGCGAGATGCTCGGAACTCCTGCTGTTGAGACAACTGATGCTGATTTTGCGAGTCAGAACCACTCAAAGCGTTCTCCCGCGGCTGCTGCCACCGCAACAAAGTGGACACAATCCCACTAACGATCGATTTGCTTGGGGGTGACTTGCCAGAAGGGCTAAATACGTTGCTGCTGCTGTTGCCGCTGCACATATTGCCTGGGAGATTCTTAACAGACGGGATGTCCCCTACACCAGCAGCACACAGAGAACGCTCGGAAGCGCTTGCTGTTCCGCCAAAGTGGCTTGGTGGTGGACAATAAGTGCTTCCTGAAAAACAGTTACTGTCACGGCACGCGCTGTTGAGACTGTTGCTGCCTCTGCAGCTACTACTGCTGTTGACCGGGCTGTTGCAGGTGCTTCCGCATTTGTGAGCGTCCTCCATGTGCTCAAAAATAAGAGAAACCCGAAGACGTTGTGGTAAAGGGGCTGGAGAATCCAAATCTTGTGCAGATAGTTCCACCACGGATTGATCCAGCGACAGAAAACCTGCGGCAGCAAAAGCAGCATAAGTATCAGTGCAAGGACCTGATGCCACAGTATGCTCTGTGAGCCGCTCAATCCCCCTGAGACCAAAACACGTATACTCAGCCTCTAGCAGCATCTAGACGGCGTGGCAGTATGCCAAATTCTCACCTGTGTGCAGAGCGTACAACGCGTATATTTGTTGCTGTTGGTGCTGCTGCTGATAATGCCTGCCGTGAGGGTGCATCTTCCGCTGCCCCTCAGGATCTCCAGTTTCAGCCTGCAGTGTCTCTCCTCGGAGGTGATGTTTTGGGGCAAGTTGCCGAATGGCAATCAGCACGTCACCGGACAGGACGAGTTGACGGGCACTCCCATCTCGCGCATGTGCGAAGTCGAAGACTGCCGATGCTGATCCATCCTGAGCAAGAACAGTAGCAGCTACGCGTATCGTGTATACAAGACATTTTCTTTCTGCCCCTGCTGCTACTGCTAGTAGCATCAAGTCTTAGTGCTGCGAATGCAACTGCCTCTCCAACAGCAAGGTAAGCCATGCTTTGTTGCACACTCGGCCCAAAAGGAAGCTGCCTGAACGAGGCGGTCGTGGCAATTAAAGTCGCAGCATTGCTTTTCGTTGCACAGACGAATGCCGTCGCTACTTGGGCTGCTGCTGCCGATCCAGCTACCATTGGGGCTCACAGGAAGCACGTCTGCAGCCATCAGCTGGTAGTCATGCGCGCAGGCTTGCAGAGCAAAGTGCGAGTGCAGCTCCCGCTGATGCTGTTGCTGCAGCCGCCTCTGTTGCAGATGCTGCTGCTGTTGGCGATGCTGCACCGCTGCAAGCAACTCCTCCGCGGTCAAAGGCGCCTCCCCTTCACTTGAAAATTCTGCTGCCTCTCCTGCGTTTGGAGATCCCAGCCAGTCTGCCACAGAAGACCCTTCTGTTCGACTGCTACCCTCAAGCGGGCAGCCATCCATAGAGCCAGCGACGGCTGCTGCCGCTGCTGCTGATGATGACCTATTCCACGGAATATGGCTTGTAGAAGTAACAGGAGGACAGCTGCAAACGTTGCTGCTGTTAAGGCACGGAGCAGACACCGGTAAAGACACATATGCATCGCAGCAAGCTCCTAAGTGGCCGAGGGGGCCTCCAGGGTCAAGCAGCAGAGGAACATCGTCAGGACTGGATGCGGCCTCGATTACTGCAGCCGCTGCTGCAGCAGAAACACTGCAGTCAGTCAGGAGCCTCGCCTGCTGCCGCAGAGCCCGTAGGTAGGGGTGGCTCTGCGCCTCTTCATTTTTGGGTCCCTCTGGCCTGCAGATGAGCAACAGAATAAAAAGCAGCGCCGACAGCATATCTGCCTAAGCTCCTAGCCGCACAACCATCCGGAATACAGCCGTTGAAAAGGAACGTACTGTTGTTGCGATCTCCCGGTTGTGCGTTGCTTCAACAAGTAACCAGCAAGGCCTTTTCGCTGTGACCGTCCGCCTCCATCGTTCTCCTGCTGCTGTTGCTCACTACGCTGTTGCTGAGTTCGTGCACTGGGAAGAGGATGCGCCCGTTGTGGGGAAACGAACTCCTCTGACTCAGTGCCACTGCTACCGGTATTGCTACTACAGAGCTGCCGTGGTGGATAGACAAGCGGCAAGGGGTTACTGGATGCGCCTGATGCTGTTTTTGGTGTCTTAGCTAGGTGCCGCATAAGAACACCAGATGGTCCAGCAGTGTCATCTTTCTTGCAACAACCGCTGCAGCAGCAGCAACACGTCGCCAGTTCATACACTTCGACGGCAATAAGTGCAGCAGGCGCAGCGAAGTGATCAATCAGCAAATTTTTTAGGCGCACTGCACGAGCCTCCACACCCGACGCAGGTAGCCTACGCGCGGCCGGTTCGTCTCGGGTGGCACGTCCCTGCAGCAACGCACACAAAAAACACATGAGCAGCAGAAGCGCAATCAGCTGTTGCCAAGAAGAAATACAAGTAGAGAAGTGAGGGAAATACAGACAGAAACAGTACCCACGCGGCCAGTGCTCCTCATTCGGCATAGAGACTCAGCCTCACTCCACAAAATTGTACACAGAGCCCGCCATATCGTGGAAATTAATTATCATTGAAACTTCCGGCTATCTGATTAATAATCCACTTTACTTTCTACACAGTTTTGCACCGGCAATAGTGAAAGTAGACCCACGGAATGCTGTCGAAGGAGAGTTTCAAAGTATGACAAATAACGCAGACAAGAAGGAGGCCACCGATCTGCTGATTTCCAGTGCAGCACCCCACCACCCCTCTGGTAGCTGCTGCCGTTGTTGCTGTTTGGGTTGCTGCTGCTCGCGCTGCCGCAGCTTCCAACCCTTAAGTTGTCAGCAGGATACGCGCACTCTTGAGCAGCTACTGACGCATTGCCAAGCATCTTCAGCAGCTGGTGCTGGGTTCCCCAACCGGTTGTTCCTGTGCTGCTACTGCACGCCATTGCAGCGCATGCAAGTAGCAACAAGGCACCACAGCCACTCTTAGGGTGGACGTTCACAAGCGCCAGGTTGAGGTGTCTGTCCAGCTGCAGCCAGAAGCGAAGAGAAGAACAAAAGTCTACGAGCACCTGCAACGGCGGTGCCCCGACTTCTGTTAAGCTGAATTCTAGGATCTGCCAGCCGAATGCTTCCCCAAACTCCGCCGTCAAGCTGCTGCTGACGCTGCTTCTGTTACTGCTAGCTATGGGGCTACTTTGCCTCGTGCGCGGTAGGTCACCGGTGGGGCATGAGCTTTGTAGCTTGCTGCTGCCAGCACTTCTACTGGCAGTGCTGATGCTGCTGTATGTGCGACGGTTACCACCTCTTGAGTATATATCGAAGATTACAATAACGGGCGGACTAGTCAAGAGGCGGCCAAGCTGCCTCAGCGACTCACGGCGCTTCGAGTCAAAGCTGTTACCCTCGCCGGCAACCACTGTGACAGCTCCTCCAGCTGTGACTGCTGCTCCCGGTACCCCTGCTGCAGCCTCACCTCCTGTGGCTGGGCTCCCATGCTCCTTCGCTGCAGTAGCGGCACTCACAAGCAGAGCAGGAGCAGCAGCAGCCGACGCAGCAGCAGCAGCGGCTGCTGCCGTTGCCTCAACGGCAGCAATGGCTGCGGCGACCGCAGGCCACGCTGCAGCATCTTCTCCCTCAAGCCCCAACTCTGCAGCACTCTCAGCAGCAGCTGTTGCTGCTGCTGCTGCCTGTGCCACGAGCGAGCACTCTTCCCCCCAGATGGGACCTTGTTGCTGCTGCTTTTGTATGGTGGTGCGAAGGTGCCTATACAACCCATTGAGCTGCGTAAGCCCCGACGAGCCGTCTGTTGCCGTTGGCACTTGCTGCAAAAAACGGCGTGGGAGCGAAAGCAGAAGCTGCTGCGGCAACTGTGAGGGCAACGATGAAAAAGAAGCTTCTGCTGCTGCAGCAGCCCGTGCCAGACCCTCTACGGCAGCAGCTGCTGCCGCAGCTGCTGGGAGAGCAGCAGCGCCAGCAAGGCAATCTGCAGCGCCCAAAGGCATAAGCCCTCCCCACCTGGCAGGCAAAAGCAGCGACTGCAGCACGGACAGATACAACAGCAACTCATTAATGCCGTTGCGCTGCAACACTGCAGATGTAGAGAGGCCCCAGGGGCTTCTCATAGCTAGTAGCCGGGGCCCAATGAGGCATATTTGTGGGGGTGGGGCTGCTGGAACTGGCAAGGAGGGACGGCACAGAGGCTGCTGCAACTGGGACAGCTGCTGTAGATGCTGCGGATACGTCGCCTGTTTTTGCAGTGTTTGCATGAACATGCGGACGGGAGTCTTCCACTCTGCGGCAGAAGCGTCAGTAACGGGAAGTGGCGGCTCTCGCTGCCCTTGTGATGCTCCAGTTACAGGTTGTTCGCGGACTTGTGTGGAAACAGTTGCCATCGAAGGTCCCTCTGTGTCCGTTGCAGTTGTTGCCGCTGTTGCCTCCGCAGCAGTACCCGTTTCTGTGGCATGCTGCAGCTGCCCTGAAGGCGTCTTTGGAGTAGAGGCAGGGCTGTCTGAGCTGCGCAATTCATCTGCTGTTGCTGCTGCACCCGCCACCAAGAAGCGATCTGCAGCCAGGCGGCATCTATCCGGAACAGTATTCTCATAGTATGCTAGCACTGACGATTCTTTTGCTGTCTGCCCTGATGCTGGTTTTGCTGGTGCCACTGCGTCTCTCACTGCCGTACCTGCATGCTTGGGGGTACCCGATGGCGCTGCAGAAGGGGCTGCAGCAGAAAGCCAAAGGGCCGATTGCTTTTCCTCCAGTGCGCAGCTGATGGACGTCACATTAGCGGGAGTGAAACTCCCTTGACGCGGGAGCCTGCTCTGCAACAGCAGCTGCTGCTGCACGTCCCCTGCCAGCGCCTTAGAAATTTCCACAGTGCCGTATAGCTGTTCCTGATGGTGCTGCTGCTGGACCCGCTCCCGATTACTATGAACTTCCTGCAGCTGAGGCAGCTGTGTACGCGGGCTCAGTAGTGGGACAGGATAGCTGTAGCTCTCACCGAATGGACTGGAGGAGCTGTTGGTGTGCCGTAAGGCCTGCTGTTGTCGCTGCTGCTGCCCTCTTGGCGGCTCCGGCGCACATTTGGGTCCGACCGCTTCATCTGAACCTCCCATGGGGCTGCTGCAGTAAAGACATCACTGGAAAACATTCTGTTCTGGGATTGCTGGTCGGGAAATCCGTGGTGCTGTTTGTCTGCTCCGCTTCCAGGGAGTGGAGCAACAGCACGACGCTGTAAAGCTCCCTTTCCCGGGTTACGTCTATAGAACAACCATTCGCTGCATACGCTGCTAATGTTTCAAACCGCTACTCAGCTAAGTACCAATGGTGCTGGCGCTAGTGCAGCAGCCGCTGATCACGGAGCCCGCTTCTGAAAGGGGCTACTGCAGCAACCTGTTGCTCTAGCTGACAATAATGTACCACAAATATGGCATAGATATCCTGAGAAGCATTAGCAGCAACACCCGCAGAAGTCCCTCAACACCTGCTCCAACACCAGGTCAACCGCAGCAACAACAATCTGAAGCTGCTGTTTGTCTCTTCGCCTTGCTTGTATGGCCTGCATTGATTGGTGTGGTGGATCCTGTCCATTTTTTGGCTTGCTTTTCTGCAGCAGGCTATGGAGGCTGAAGCCATATCGCATGCGCATCCTTGCTGCTGAGCTAGTCGCCTGCCGCGGTTGTGCGTTTCACGCTTATACGTTAGTTATTTGAGTCGATTTTGTAATTCATTGTTATGCATGGAAGTACAATAGGGAGGGGGAGGGGAGAGACCCTGAAAGGACTGACGCTGGTGCGCTTCCCCCACCAACTCCCCCGATCCTCATCCGCACGAAACGCTGCGTGGGCAGTCTCACATGAAACAATGGAGGATTGATTACTTAACAACGCATTCAGATTGTTTTGTTATGAAGTAGCATGGCTAATATACTTTGATAGTGGCTATGTGAGGGTCACCTTTTTGTTTCGTCTGCTCAGGTTGGTCTTGGGTATGGTTGATGGCTCTAAACACTATTGCTCCTAATGGAAATACTCTCCAGAGCCTCTATAAAAGCATACCGGCCAGTGAAGCGTAAGAGACTCTTCATGTGAAGTCTCGCGTTGCCATCATCCAGTAAAGTGTTGAAAACGGTGCCTTCGAAGTCCACGGTCGCCGTAGACCTTGGCGTGTAACACCATGGAGAATATTATGCCTGTAATTTAACCCCAAGATAGCCCTGAACACTTCCCTCGCTTCATTTCTCCTATGTACTGACTGGGCCTAGCAATCATTTGCCGTTTGGTTCGGCCCTCTGGGAAACTGAGGAGCTGGTCAAAAAGAGCCTTGAGCATCTTGCCTTTGCTCCTACCCAATGCTACTGAGGGCCAGTGCTTTACATTGCGAATATAAGAGCGGCGAAGGGAGGCTCCAGAGCGCCCTGAGTAATCAATAGCTACAACGCTCCTTGTATGTGGAGTTTCCGTTCAGAGTAGCGAACTGCCATATACGTGCATGCATTTCCCGCTGCTTCAGTTTATTTGTTGAATATTTAAGGCCCTTTAGAGACAGGATGGGGGAAATTTATCTTGGGAATAAGCAGCAGGGCATGCAGTGCCCGATGTAGTGCGAAGGCACTACAATTGGATTCGCAGCTAGCCAGGGCAGGTAGCAACGTAGTAGAGAGCGCTGTGCACTACACCTGATATCTATAAAATCTGCTGATGGGGCAATCGCCCTCAACCAAGAGCATGCTAAATGAAAAACATAGACTCTTTTATTTCCAAGCGTGGTATTTTAGCTACGAAAACTGCAAGTCTTTAAAAGAAACCAAAAGAAAAGTTTCTAGGGAATATGCTTGTGTCCCGAAAAACTGCTACACACATACGATGTGAATCACCTGCCAGGAATCATCCTATGTCGGAAGTACTCAGCGGAGCTCCACCCAATGCTTTCCTAGCCTGCCTTTCCACCTAGCGAGGGAGAGTTCTCCGACATTGTGGTGCAACTGCGCCGCTACAAAAAAACTGGCAAGCACCTTTGGGCGTTTGAGACCCAGCGTTAAATAGCTCTTCTCCATAGATGAAGGCAAAAGCTTTGCTCTACAGGAACAGTTCAGTGTATCACCATAGGATTGGTGAGCATTTTGAACTCTACCACGATTGGCGTCCAGCGCGCTGTTTAGCGACCTCGCGAAGGAGCATAGCCAATACAAATAGGGGGCACTCTCTGAAAGCTAATGGTGTTTAGCTAGTATGGTAGTACACATATTGGCTGCCCGTGACCGCCCCGGTCTCACCCAAAGGTGTTCAAGAGTAGTAGAAGACTACTGATCGATGCATATTTTGTGGTCTAGGTTCGTGAACGGCCCATGCAAAATATCGCGCTTGAAGATTTGTTTTAACTCGAGGTAATTTACCTCGAGACTCTTCGGAAACTCTGGGGATAGAAATTTGCCTACTATAGGCCTGGCAAAATCAGTATGCGGTCTCTGCGATCAATGTCTAGCGTGTATCAATGGGCTCCAAGCGGCTCGGAAGGCAGTAAGGGTATTCTAAACCAGCATATTGATAAAACATAATGAGAATGCGTAACTGGGCAGAGACACAGAGCGTTTGGTGAGAGATTAGGAAACTTGCGGTCCCCCAGTGGGGTCCGGCAATTGGCCGTTTCGCAGTTTCAGAGAACTGGGAGCAGACTTTACAATGGGCATTTAACTAGCTAGATACTCTTCGAAATGTGTCCTACGCGAACGTGTAGAGGGTGGGCTGACTCAAGGTGACGAACTACGTTGCGTTCGTGTGTGCACAGAAATGCCACTGTCAAGAACCCTTTCAGCTAAGAGATCACGCGGGTTGAATTGTCAGTGGGTGGTTGTATGGGATAGTCGAGCAGCATTTGGGCCACAGGTCACGCTCCTACAGATTAGTGGGCACGGTGCGTGAGGCATCCGAGCAGACTCGAGCCTGCCAAGTGGGAGAAACAGTATATTTTGGTTTTGAAAGGGACAAAAAGAAAGAAAAGAATCCCTTCGTGGTAGGTCAATCTACCGAGACGTTCATTTTCATGGCTCTGGCTTGCTACAGACTTTGTGGTCCTAGCCAGCATTTTAGAATGACACAGACACACAGATATGAGACGAGGTTTCTTTTATGCTCACTCCGTCACGTTAGATCCTTTATCTTCTGTCCATTTTAAGTCAGCACATTCCTATACGCATTTAATGAGCTCAGAGCCCCAAAATTTGCAATTCAACAAGTCAAGGCGCATACCACGGAAGTAAAGGCGATCTCACTTGCCTTATTCGGGCAGAGCTTGAGCCTGCTTGATAGGTTGCTCATTTCGAGATAAAAATCGTAAATTCCCCCAAATGAAATAGTGCTTAAAGCACTTAATTAAGTAGAAAGCATACAATTCCGCATGGACTAAGCAACTTGTACCTGGCAAAAGGTTGGGGTATTCGGAAGGGAGTGGTCGTGTGCAGCTGCATCCAGGTCAGTCTCCCCTCCACGAAGTCTCGCGCACCACTTCAGCTCACTGAAAGATTCGGACATATTTGCTTTATTGGTTCCAGTGTAGACGTAAAGAGGTGGCTTCACCTTTGTGAAGGGGAAATTTCACTAACGGATTTGCTAGAAAAGAGGGCCAGCTTTCTGCAGTGTATGAGGAGTCGACTTCTAAAGTAAGCAGAAAAAACAAGTGCTAGACACTGGGATATATTGCGCCTGGACTTCATCACCACAATTTCGCTGGGCCATGCTTACAAATTAATTTTGAGCTGTACATGAAGACGCATGCAGTTAGAAAACGTGCTGTTGAAGGTGAGAGTCTGGGGGACACCGCACAAGCATTTTTAAAAGAATTGCTCACTATGAACGTGGGAAATTAAGAGCTGTGACTCATGGTAGGCAAGTTGCGAGCGGCCTTAGCGCGATATTTGTCTGGTGATCTTGTCATCACTGTTACCTTGGGGAAGGCGCTCGCTGTAGCTCACACCCTCCGCCCTGCAAATTTCGGCCCAAGTTACTACACCGTTTTTCCCTCTGCGCAGTGTCTTCCCGTGACGATTTTTTTTTCGTGCTTATGCAACCTCCTTCAGACGTTTGCTGGCGAATACAGGCAGTTGCTCTCCTGCCAGCAAATTTTGGAAGAAAGCCATTGTAGGGGTTTTGATTCAGTGGGCATGCTTGTACCTTCTAAGTTTATGGCCACTGGTTTACCCTTAGTTAAATGGCTATTTTGTGCTTTTTCATCGTGCGCGTCGTGATTGTTAAGGTGCCACCACCGTTTACTAGGTGAGTCGTGGAGCGGTCCTGCAAACTAAGCTGGTTAGCCCGGCGGTAAGTTCACGCTTTTCGCTAGCAGCCCATGCATACCTCCCGCTAAAGAATAGAAGATAGTCAAAGCACATGCATGGTGGACGGCATGAGAAAGGGTGGTGTAGCTGCGGTACTCACGGCTAGACCTGCAGTAAGGCAAAAAGCGTGCTTACAAGCCCTGTAATGGCAGCAGCAAAATCAGCGTCGTTTTTCGACTTACGGTTCAAAACACATTCTGCAGGAACGTACGCAGGGCCAGTGCCAACTCGTTGGTCTTGTAAGTGAAAAAATTGGAGGAAAGGGGCTAATTTAAGTGAGGGCTCAGCTGGGACGCTCTCACTCCTAGGAGCAAAACCAGGCGGGAAACTCTTACTTGAGCATGACGTAGTGAAGCACCCCCCACAAAAGCCCAGAGGGGCGAAGTTGATGGCGACCCAGCGAAAGCCGCGACAAAGAGCGCCCTTAAGACGCTGAGGAGGAGATCGGGCAAGATGGGCACAGTCTGGGGCTTTGGAGCGTAAAGTGGAAAGTAATCATCTCAAGTGCTGGCCAGTGAACACTGGATATGGCGCCCTCTTCATCTAAAGCAATTGCTAGGTCCTGCCCTCATCTAAAACAGGAAAATGGACGTGCTTTCAGCGCCCAAAGCTAAACATTCCAGCCTCCCTTGGTAGAAGATGATCACAGCAAGCTTGAGGACATAAGCGATGCGTACGTGTACTCCATAGCAGATAGACATCTGAAAGTGACTCTGAAGTTCGAACAAAAAGGCATTCAAGACGGCCGTCAACGTCTCAACGTTGCCTAGCGCCAGCGAAAAACCATTCGATTAATCGCGTCTAGTTCAGCACTGCAGTAAATGTCTGCAAGTACTGAAGGCACAGGAACATTGTAGACTCGCAGTGAAGCCATATGGCCAACGCTCAAAGGCTAAGTTGGCGTCAGTCGTTGCTGCATGGAATGTATCTCGCTTGGCTCTGCAGAGCATAGGCAGATTGCCATCAGGTCACACGAATCGGGCACAGAGCTTAAGTGCATATGCTCTCAGACACACTACAAAGGTGGGAAAGCGGCCGAGCTGACAAACATAGGTAGAAGGTTTCACGCAAGGGAGAAAGGCTGCATCGCCGCTCAGAACAGGTGAAAACAGCATGGGAATTCCTCAACTACTGAGCTTTAGGGGAGAACAAAAATAGGCACTATACAAAAAATGAAGGGGAACTCTCAAATGTTGCTGATACAGCAACGACTCAACGACTTTTTCACATGCTAAACTATCGCAGGGATCCTGAGCTGTGGATTGAAAATCCTTTTTTTGAGTTTGAGCTATTAGCACCAAACAATTTGGACGAACAGCGACACAGAATGCATAACGGCGCTGTCATGGACCTATCACATGCAGAAATCGGCTCTGCCTACCTATTGCTGATCAAAGCTAAAGAGCACTGGATGGCAATATAGGACTAAAACGAAACGGTGAACATCATGGCTGCTCCTGGCACTCGATGATCCACGTGACCAAGAGTGTGAGGGTGGTTATTTGGCTGGGGGGGAGCTCCTAATACCAAACATCCCACCACAAAGTACTGAACTACAAAGCTTTTACCTTTAGAGAACTGCGTAGAGGCTTTGGGCTGGCAAGCTGATTATCCAGAGTCATGGATCCGAGGCAGATGTACTGCTGAGCGCTACGCTGGAGTGTGACAGTAGCCTGGGAAGGTTACGTAACCAAAATAAGTGCCCAGCAAACGCCTACTCACTGTCTAAGATAAACAGGTATGAGTATTGAATGGGTACTAGTTTGATTTTAGGCTCAGTACTTGAGGGTACCAGTGACGCTGCAGCAAATGGGTAGTCCTTGCACGTAGAGTCCAGCGTGACCCCCTGCATGTCTCTTCTGTTCCGGGTGCGTAGGTTCGTGCCTACAGCTTCCCACCTAAGGAACCGTAAAAATAGTAAAAGGCTACAGACAACACCGCTGCAAATGCGTTTTCCAAGAAAATGTCTGTCTCTGCCGCATGCTTCTCCATCGCTGTGTGGGCATACCGTCGAAAGCAGTCCTTCTAGCAAACCAAATCGCTGGGCAGAGCACACTAGGCCTGATCGCGCGAGAACTAAGCCCCCTTGAATAATGCTTGTTTCCAGTTACCGTCCAAGCCTGCACATTCTGAATTATATGAACCGGAAAGTCATTTCTGGTCTGCATTGTAGAGCTTTGCTCTACACGGCGTGATAAAAAGCCACAAACCAGGTTTAGTGTTATATCTATGTTTTAATGGCTCCTAGCAACTCAATCCAACTTTATGCTTGCAAGAGCCAAGCTATTCTTCTCGGCATTCGTTAATCACGATGAATAAGTGTTCCTCGGATAACCTATATAAAGGAAAACATAAAAGCCAAGCTACGCTTGATACGCTTGAAATAAGGCGTGCTCCGTAGCCTATGCGCCTCAAGCTCCATGCTTACAAACACCAGCTCACAAGCAAACACATTTTAGGTCCTCGGGAGAATGCGTGCCTTAAAACTGCTATATATTCTACTCTAACGGACAAGCCATAAGGCACGCAGATAGCCTGCACCGGAGATCTGCACATAATGAGCACGTAGCTTGAACCACACCGCCAACCAAAGAAAACCTGTAACCAAAATTTGAAGGCTTTCAGGGGCTGCATAATAGACGGGATCATCCGGCTGTACCCTGCTTCTCTAGAGGCGGTTGCACAACTCCTAGTCATATGCGTTTCGTTTAGTAATTGACCAACAGGTTAATTCTGGAGGCATTTTTGAGTTGGTGAAGGAGTTTGAAACAAAAAGACAGGTGCACCTCAAGACATTTCTAGGCTCATCCGGTGCACCCGTGAGGTGGTACGGTATCAGATATCAACCTCCTGAAGTCCGAACACTTCAAAAGCGCAGGAAATATAAACAATGAGAAGCACCTGGGGCACAATTTTCGTTGTAGGCTTCGTATCGCATTCTGAACTATTGTGTTAGAAGCTTGCACAACGCATGGAAGCATACTGGGTTCAAGAGGCCTGCTCGAGTCAAGGTCCAGTAGCCAAAAGCTGCCCAAGGGCTATTGCCCGTTCTTTGGATAAGCACGCACTTGACAGAGAGAACGTCGATAAGTAGGCCGACGCAACCCGCCCTGACATACTATCTTCTCTTCCGTCAGTTTCCACTAAACTCTCCCCTTCGGAAGTGGCTATTTTAGTTGGGAAAATTGTTTGGGACGTAAATGTCAAAAGAGGGGAGCCTTTGGCTGATGCAGTGCCCCTCGCCTCGCCGGTTTGCCTCTTCTCGCCGAGTCCAGAGCCGCGTAGTCGTTGGGCAGCCAAACTGTAATGTTCATATAGTTAAGCGGGCTGACGAAATGAGTTACGCTGTAACCTGTGAGGTAGAGTGAAAGTGAGAGTATTGCGCCTAAAGGGCTTAAATTGGTGAAGCAAACGCCTCGCAGCGACTGGACGACATTTCCAACTCATAATATCAAGTTATGATGATGTGAGAATTCATGTGGCTACCGTATAGAACGAGCGCGGGATGTAATGAAGGTGTCACGAAGCAAGGGCCAGCAAACTGCATGCCGGTCCGTCGCGGCTGGCGTTTGCTGCGACGGCTTCGCTACTGCAACAAGAGTTAAAAACCAAAGAACTCCTTTAATCTTTATTCTTAGAGGAATTATGCAGACTCTTCCCTGCGCCATCAGCGCCTAGCTCACATTGGCTTCACCTGTATTTGTACTTGTTCCACCAGCGACGGCAGAAGCCTTAGGCTCAGTGTAGGCACAGACTAGAGCGCCCATCAGTACCGACAGCGTGCTGACTGAACCAGACAGATTGTCACACAGCCTACACGCTCAATAGGCCTCGAGGGCCTTAGGGCCCTAGAAGCCTGCTGGCTTGCGGCGACTGGGCCCTAACGTAGGGAAACATCTCTTGCACTTTTGTCCCCTTGTCAAGCTGGCAAGGAAATGGGGCAAACCTTGCTGGTTCGTCGAACCATATTTCCCTCATTTACGTCGTTCTGGCTTCTAAATTGTCTAGCGTGCGTTTTGTGCAAACGAGCTGATTACAAAATGCATGGGCCACCCAGCTTATTTTAGACAAGTAAACTATGTTTGTTTTCAATGAAATAGAGGGCAATCTGGGAAAAAATACGGGAGAGCAACTACTGGCTTCCAGTCTCCCGCTTCGTTGCACAGCCGCACTGAGCGAACGCCCACGGACTGGGTGCGCCAGCCCGTGACGATAACGCTCTACCTATACATATATATGCAAATTAAGTTATTTGGCATGATATTTACGATACATATACAAGAAAGAGGCAGATGGAAGGGGGAACTGGTCGTCAAATAGACGATATTTTTACTCATTGCATATCGGGCCAGCAGCGCTCACTGCACTCCGCTTACCTAGTATCGTGGGGAGAGGGAATCCCCGTCTTTCAGCTCCGTCGCTTTCACCTACCGAGCCTAGGCCTTGCATATTTCTATGCAGTTTGTTTTGTTAGATCGGTAAAAGGAAACTTCTCTCTTTTTTCAAGGGGAAGGGCGGAGTCTTGCCTTCCTGAAGCCCGGGGCCGCCAGCGATCCGGAACGTAGTAGTAGGCTCTGGTAACGAAGGGCCCAAGTCTGTTATTTATCGCACAACCGGAAAAATGTGATTTTCTCATATCTTTAGAAATTAGCTGCGGCAAGACAAGCCCAAGACATTACTTTCATGGATGCGCGCCCCCTTACTGCACCCTAGAGTGTAGGACACTGGGATTTGTATGCGCGTGGAGGTACTGCCCACATCACCACCTTCTATATTCGAGTAGTTTTATGTAAATTCTGTTCCCCGTATTTGCACCCTGCCTTACTAGTGACGGGCCTCGCAGCGTAACGGGGGGCTTGTCGTGCGGGATAATCCAGCGGCGCGTTTGGTGCTTTTAAGGAACCTTTGAGGCTTTCTTTCTGGTCCCTCTACTTTCGCCTGAGGCCCATTGCGGCGGTCTGTTTGTTTTTTTACGCCGCGAGTAGTCTTGGGATCCCCACCATCTTTCGTTTGAATTTTGTGACGACTGAGATAATGGCCAAGGATTACGACGTCCAAGCACTGCAGCCAAACGCAGGGGCCAACTTATCAGTACCTCTTGACAGGTATGACGCTGGCGCAGCTAACGTTTCTCTATCCGTACCAAGAACTGGAGTGCTAGGTTTTCCTGTACAACATCTTTTCGGGATTTGACTTAATTGCTGCTATTTGCAGTATCGGGAGCTGAGGGAGCTACTTGTTTTTATCGGGATCACCAGGTCCTTCATCTCATGGCGAATGTGTGAAATTGGCAATTCATGCATCATCTGCGGTGGTGTAATCGTATTGCAGTCCGATGCAGGCGTTGTGATGTGTTGCTATCTGTTCCCAGTCTCAACTGTAGTAAGATGAGGTACTCGGGCATCCTTGGCGACGTGATGGAGAGACTGACAGACAGGGCTGCTACGGCGCCTTGCTCTTTGCAGCTGCTGCATGCACCTCAGCAGCAGCGCACGGCAACGCAGATGAACATGCGACCATCAGCGGCTGGTTCACGGATGCCCAATGTGGGGCCTACTGATCTCTCCGATGAGCATGGGGAGGAGGTAAGCGTCAGTCCCAAGACAGCCACCCGCTGTACCTGTACTGTGCTGTTGTAGGTGTCCGTTGTGGCAGCTTCAGCACCTTCCACTGCACGGTTTGTTGCAGAACTAGTGTCCTGTCCATGTGAGTGCTTCCTTGTCTCTCTAGAGCAAGCCCCTTACTGATGAAGAATTTCATGCGGCGATTGGGGTCGCAGAAAGTCTCCTCGCAGAATGCAGCTCGGCAACAGTGGACAATGAATGTGGCAGCAGCGGGAGCACCGGCAGCAGCAACACAGACTGCGTGCGGGAGGCTGTGGCCAAGGCTTTGCTGCAGTTGCGGGGGGAGAGGACTCAACAACAGCCCATAGAAGCCCAAAACTATTCGCTGGCAGAGCAGCAGTACTCTCTTCCACACAATCAGCGAAATCCACATTCTACTATGGCAGGGTTATTCAAACCAAGGGGAGGAGTGACGGAGCAAGATGCGTTGTTGCTGCAGCTATTGCAGAAGCTCGGCGGTGCATCGGCGGCTGTTTGTGAGCCTTCTCGAATCGCAAATGAATTAAGAGAAGCCTATCCGTCGATTGCATCTATGCAGTTTCCAGCGAACAGCTGCGAAGCTGCGCCCGCGCTGGTGTCAGCAGCAGCAACAGGATCAACGACGACTACTACTGTGACTCACCTTCCCGTTCTTTGTGGCAAGAGCGGACCAGTTTCTGCAAATCCCACGCTTTCAGTTCTCCAGCCACCAAGCAGCATTAGCAGCGGCCACCAGCAGCACTTACAGGAAGCAGCAGCAATGACTGCCACCGCAGCAGAATCCATAGGGGACCTGCCTTTTGGCCTTGTCGCCAAGGCAACACAGCCCGGATGCGCGTCGACAGCTTCAGCTGCATCACATGCGCCGCAGCTTTATTCTTTCCTGGAGCTGCAGGAACAGGGGCAGGTGCAGTGTGGTGATCAGCAACAGTTGCAGAACAAGCAACAGTCCGCTTTGCCACTTGCCTGGATAAACCAGGCGGCCCACAGTGATGTAGGTGACTTCATGTGTCCTTTAGGAAGCACTGGTTTAGGAAGCACTGGTGGCAGCGCGAGCTCTCAGGGGGGTCAAGTGCCTGGGCCTTCTTCTGTGGCTGCTCTGGGCCTAGCCGACCGCCGCCTGTCTGCCCCTTCAGGCAGCACGGGCGCCACGCCGCTCACAGTCCCTTCAATTAATGCGCTCGGCATTTGCAGTGCCATTGGCGAACCGCTCAAGCAACAGAAACAGCAGCAGGCTCGACAGGTGCCTTCTCACCAGGGTGAAAGGATCAGTTCGAGAGCTGAGGAGGGCGAGCGGCTGAAAGCCCTGATTAATAGCATGTGGGGCGAAGGAGCAAAGGACATCGTGCCCTTTGGCTTGACGCCGCAAGAACTTACAAGGGACAAGCTAGGAGTAGTGGGCGGTCCGCTTGGCGCACATGGTGCGGGGAGAGATTTTTCGTTGAGCGCGCTTGCCGCGAGGCCTGCTGAGATCAGTGCTTGTAGAGCCGCGACTGAGATCCCTGGCAATTCTGCAGTTGCAGATCGTCTTATTTCCGCAGGAGGCATGCAACCAAAGCTGCGGGGGAAGCAGCTGCCGAAAGGGGATGAGGGGGATGAGATGGAGGTCGAGTCCGCAAACCGAAAGCTTGGAGAATTAAGACCTGCATGCTGTTACTTTCTCCTCGGCAAGTGTGAGTTTAGCCGCTCCTGTGTCTTCTGGCACCCCCCACCTGAAGCCGAGCCATCTCTCGTTGTCTGCAAGTATGGACGGTACGTGCCACCAACGTTTGTGCAGCACGGATAGCAGAAAGACCCGCAACAGCTCCGTCAGCACGGCACGGCCAGATTTTCAGTTTGGTCTCTCGTTTATATTTTTTTCAGGGTCTGCAACGCCCAACATGGACACCGCGTGTCTTACAAAGAACTGGCTGCGGTAGTCCATGCATTTGTCCGCCGTTGCCCCCAGCTGGCGCCTGGAGAGTCAGGGCGGCTTTATCACTACCTAAGGGTTTCCCGCTCGCAGCCGCAACAGCATATGAAGCAGCTCAGTGGTAGACCGCCGCCAGCGCTTCCACCATACGTAAGTGCTAGCGCTAGATTTGGCTCGTTCCTGCGTCTCGTTGAAATGATGTGCTTTCGGGATGTTTGCGTTGCAGATAATACATCACTTTTACAGGCTCCTCGACAGCGTCCAGGGCCGCGATTTGTCGGCCGTCAACTCTGTCTGGCGTCGAACGTTTGGCGAGCCTTTCCCCTACGCAGTGTACGTGTCAAAGTCTATGCAGCGCCATTAATGAGTTTTATTTGGAGCTGGGGGTGGTGTGATGTATCATTCTAGAGCTGGTAGGGATGTGGCGTGTCTTCCTAGAAATGTCGGTTTCCCCTGTATGTCCACCGTTGCCTTCATGCCGGGGACACGAGCGCCTTTTGGTTTGTAGCAGTTTCTGTGAATGTTTGGTCTTTCCTCAGGTTTGGTTTCGAACAGCTGCGAGCGGCCATCGCCTCGATTCCCGGTGTGCAGCTGACAACGCGAGGGACAAATGTCATCGTCAGCACGCGCAGCAAGGAGCCGAACTCTCATGAGAAGGGCGCGATCCTAAATTCATTGGCTTCGGCGGACTCGGTGGTACCTCTCAGAAATAAGTACACAGCTCAGGCGATACAGCAAACGGATTCGTGCCGCATGAGTCTTCTTCCCTGTCCACCTCTGTACCACTGCCAGGATCTTAGCAGCCCCAGCCCCCCAGGCAATGGAGGCCCTCACGCTGCAGCACCCCTCGCTGCCTGCTCTATTGGAGCACAAACACCAGGCCAGCAAAGCCTCCCAGAGATCCCCTATAAGTGAAACACGTTCTGCATCTATTCTTATCGAATATGACCATAGCGCCTTAAGGTAGGTTTGTTAGCGCACACATATATCTGTTGTGGGCGTCGGCTACTTTTTCTTCGTTAACTTCAGGCCTTAGGAAATGTCCGCGCGACAGAGATCCAGGTTCACTTTATTTTTAATGCCCCGCTGTATATGAACGAGACACCAGTCTTTCATATTTGTTTTCAGCTCGTGTTTAGTAGTCTTACCGCAGCCCTGAAAACAGAAAATCTTGTATTTTCGGTCCACCCACTTGTTTTGTATACTAATCCCCCGTGCTGCTGGCGGTCCTTGTGCCATGTCTTCAAAGCCAGTTAATCTTACAAGGTGCACTGTAGGGAAGGCGCCTTTTATTGCTCTGCGTGGGACATCGAGTTGTCAGCCTACATGAAAATTAGTACTTGTACATCAAGTTGTTGCTGTGCTTGAGGAGAATTACAAAGACATGCCACGCCCTTGTGAACCTCGTCCTCGAGACGTCGAGCTGTTTAGAGGCACTCGTGTTTGTTTTAATTGTATCTCTTCGAAGGTCAGTTGATCTTTGAGGAGTCGGCTGGTCGATGTGTTTCTTCTTGAAGTGCGTTTGCTCATCAGCCATTCCTTGGAGCTCATGAGCTAATTCTCCATAGCTATTTCAACTGTTTGCATGCGTACGAAGTAATATGTTTTGCCCGTACTGAGGGTGCAGAACCCCTGCTACCTTGGCATACCAACCAATTTGATGTGTTATTTTTGCTGTGGACAGCTTGGGTACCCGCGACAGGGAGGTGAAACCCGCCGTAGGCTTAGTGTGTATTCTGCATACTTAGTGCTGCTCCCAGTGACGGCGGAAACAGGAAAGCGACGGACGTCTTGCAGAGGAGGCAGTTGAAGATTGTCAGGGAAGAGCGCCTTTGCAAGATATTGCAGTCACGAGAACACGATATGTAACAAAGCCATGTGCTCGTAGTAACGACTAGCGTGCCCTGGCCACGTGGCTCAGGGGGAATGATTCGTCGGGATCGGTCGCAAGGGGGGCTGGCATCAAGGCGAAAAGAGAGTAAACGTGACACTTCAAAGCTACAGCCGTTACCTTTGAACACATCTAATTCGAGGCCTACAGGGGTACACTGTTGAGTGCGCAGTACCTGCGTGAGAGCTACTAAAGGGATACAGTACGAACTAAACTTTGACTTCCAATGCCATCGTTCCAAGTCTAGGTTTCCAAGACCAAAGGACATTTTGCTTGAATATATTCCTGTGCCTTGAGGGTCCATTACAGTAACAGCCTAGAGACTGAAGCTCACGCCCTTGTTGAAGCATCCGTCTCTAGCTGGCGATGGAGTAGAGGCTATCGCAGTCAATAAAAGCATTGATTTCTCCAACTACCGCCGGAGGAACTCCGCAAAAACGAACGCCAGCCAACAATGTACATGCTTGACGGTTTCTCCCACTAAAGTGCATATGCTCGTTATCTGTCCACCCCGAAAGAAGTTCAATTTCCTTGCTCCGCAGCCAAGAAAAAGAGTGATAGCGATTGCCATCGGACCCAAGCTCCAGAAGCTGGTACTAAATTAACAAAAGAACTCTGGATGTCATGCGTTTCTCCGAACGTCTTACGAGGTCTCAGACTCCTCCTAACCACTGGCAGGATCCCTTACCGCACGACTTCTGCAACACTGGCCGGCTCCTGTGTGTCTTGGATTTGCAATGCCTTGGGCCAAATAAACTTTTCTAACTCGTTTGCATATTTGTAGTATATGGTGGAGGGCCCGTTGTAGCGCCGGCAGTTCGCGAACATTCGCCGTAGCTCCGAAAGGAACGCAGCCTTAGAAGGAAACTGTTTCTGCGCACATTTCCACTCAAACTACTGGGAATTTAATCCCACATACCAGAAGGCAGACAAACCACAGGAGCACCAAGTACTGTGAGCCCGAACGCTTGAGCGATGTGGAAGAGTCACGCAGACTGCTGAATTACGCAACAGCAAAAAACCTAACGCAACACAGAGCCAGCAACCATCAAGCGCACTAAAATCCGTAGACTAAACAATTTTTTAAAAAAACATAAAAGACCGACGAGAATGTCATGCAGCAAGGCGTCTATACCTTCTTTGCCTTCTTCTTCATTGTTGAGATATCTGTAGGCTGGGTGATAATCTCGTAGTAGTCAGGGGCCTCGTCCTTTGCCACGGGTTTTTGGAAAGGCCATGCACTGTGGTGGCGAGAAAGGATGTCGAGCACGTGGACAATCTGCTCGTGCAGCGGCCGAGCGGCCGCCGCGCCGTCGCTACCCGCATCAGCTGTAGCTTGAGGGGTCCAGCCGTATTCCACAACCCCAGGTACTTGAGAAGGGTGCAAAACAAGATTGGGCTCTTTCTGCGAAGCGCCGAAACAGGGCCACACGCTCGTCCTCTTGCTCGCAAGGAATCTTACACGCATCTTAAGGCATATATTAGCTCAAATGCCCATTGGAAACCGTGCACCAGCAGCAACCTGCGTAAAATCTCGCTCACGGGTGCAACCGAGATCACAGCTCCTTACCTGCCAGCACGTCAGCCCGGGGAACACGCGGGGAGGCTTAAGGCGCATGATAGCTTTCTGTACGGTTTCCTGTTGGTCGTTTAGCATCTCATACAGACGTAAGTAATCAACTTTAGGGGAAATACGACATTCCATAAGGGTCCCTCCCTCGTAGTCCTTAATAAAGCCAAACCACCTCTCCTTCGGCATAGATATCTTCTGCGTGAATCCTTGCTTTCGGAAGTACCCAACAGCAAAGTTGTCTGCTCGTCACAAGCAAGCAACTTGCAACCATTAGGTTGTAACAGCTAACACCTCCAAACCTTGACCTGAGTCTGTCTAGCTCTTTAAGCTATACTGCCCCTGTTTACGAGCGGCCCAACAGGTTTACCAGCGTAAGTCAAAAAATATTCAATGCCGCTCTTCTTGACGTGCTCTTTAAGGTGGTTCATTAGGCGGGTGCCGTAGCCCTTGACTTGTTCAGAAGATGTAACCGCCAAGAATGCCACTTCAGCAAACTTCTAAAGAGATAAGCACACACTTCTAGGCTCAAATTCCTGGAGAGCAACCGGGTTCTCACCCCTACCTGGAGCTATGCGCCACGCAGGAGTCAAATGCACAAACAGCTAACCGCGCTTTTACACCACAAAGGAAATAAGACAGACAACGCTGCAAACGAGAAAGCAGACGCATCAAAATAAACTGATTAGCGTCGTAACTTAACAGGACGCGTGAACTTGGCTGAGCTGTGGCTTGCCTGCTTAAAATACGGCCTGAAGCAGCACCCTCCTATTATTTGCTGCTGCTTGATGAGGCAGAACGTGTAGTGGCTCCGGTCAAACACAAGGCGCACAATATATTCTCTGGGCATCTTCGGAAGCTGCCGTGAGAATATGTTTTTCGCAGCGACAAGCGCCATTGAGTGAAGCGGCTGGCGGTCGTTCGTCAGACACGCAAAAGAAATGAGACCAGATTGCTCCTCCCTAGCAGAGCCAAAGTCTCGGCTCAAAAACCCGAGACCCGACTCGGACACCAGGAACGACTGCAGCACAAAATAAATCATCTCACCATTATACCCATGTCGGCCGCGTCTGTGGGTCGGCAGCCACAAACCAACGCGGTCGACGTCGTGGTAGCTTTCTGAACGGTATCATTTCTGTAGGCTGATAAGCAGCCACGGAAAAGATAAGACCCATAGGTCTGCTAGGCTAGATAGCCAACGGCTCGTCCACAAAAGAACAAACGCACATCGATTCACAGAGGCTGAGTTGTAAATTTCTACTGCGGAGGTCCTGCACTACAAGCTGTGACTGTCCACCTCAGGTTTTCTTGAGTGACAACGATCACTTGAAGGAACGTCTCAGGCGACACAAGCCTTAGTCAGGGCTAGGGTACCTCCAGGGTGGCGTCGTGTGTCGTGACAGACTGAAGAGCTGCACACCTCGCAGCAGGGCTGAGGCTGGCCTCATCGCACAGTCGGTGGAAAACCGCAGCGCAGCAGAAGCCCAAAGGACCAGCTGAAATATCTCGTAGAAGGGAGGCACAGCAGCAGAGCAGCAGGGAACGCAGCATCCCCCGGCCAAATACGCAGCTCAACGAGGCTCCTGTTGGCTGTTTTCGCAGTAAGAAATCTCTCCACTCTCTGAAAAAAAGGAATAACCAACCAGCTCTCAAAAACCAAAACCTTCGAGCGGAACCTAAGGTTACGGGACCTACAGCTTAGGCATATACGGATGACCTGTTGAAGCACTCATACGAGAGGGACTTGCGGCTCCGTTCTCAACTGCCAACTCGACATGCTCCGCCTGCTGCGAAGGGGTGCGCACGCTTATCTAAGCTTGCCTGTAAAACCCAGTGTCGACACCAAGATGGTGACTAGACGAACTTGCCTGTAGTTTGTTTCGTAACTCCTGTCTGGAGGCAGCGTGCTACACCTGGTCCGCTCCTCGGGAGTCATGAGCTGTACAGTGTTAAGCGCGGCAGCTACAGCCATCGAGAGCTCCTCAAGGGCCTCTTGCCCTAGCAATCGCCCATCGTGAGGGACCAGCACCAGCAGTGACCGGCTGTCTATCAACTTGGGCGGCTGTAAAGAAGGGAAAAGCAAGCTCTCCGCTGTTGCACAGTCAGGTCGGCTTGCTGCAGTGGCAGCAGCTGCAGCAACTCCAGCTGCTGCACCACCGCTGCGGCAGGCTGCGGTCGCCGCCGCAACTCCACCAGCAGCTCGACGACTCGAAGTCCCCGAGGAGTTGCTACTACCGGTGTTGCTGTTGGGGTTGCGCTGGTGTAGCATCTGTTGCAACTGATCTAAGTGAGTAAAGGTAAAGGGGGAGGGTGGAGAGGGCTGCTGAGAAGGAACCAGAATGGGCTGCAGCACCTCTTTAACGACTCTGTGCACGATGTCCGATATAGATGCCTCAAGCGGCAGAACAGACTTGAACACTGGCATTCCATTGCTACTGCTGCTGTTGCTGGCTCCATGCCCGGCGCTGGGGGGAAAGGCCGCTGCCCCTGGGGCATCCAGCATGCCACTGACTGTCGCTGTGAGCCGGGGGGTGCCCACAGCACTTGACAGCACCATGCCTCAGCTGCTGCAACCGCCTGAGAATTCGTGAGCCAGGTTCTATGTGTCAAACTGAAGGAGCTGGCAGCTTGCGGCTATTGGTGTACTGCTCTATATTCCTATTCCCACCCTTTGAAGGTTGCAGCAACGGCAGCAGCTGCAGCCGCTACTCCGCAGTGCTCCCGTGGTACTGGCGACTGAGATGCTCGAAAATACCCACGAGGGGGTGTCCTTACTGCCGTAGCTCCACGATAGTACAGTAGCCGGTGGAAAAACCCTGTTCACAGCAGCAATTTAAGCCTTTTCTTTGCACTATGCATGCTATTGAAAGCGCCTAGAACAACATCATGGAAGATTTACGAGGGTCTCTGCATGCAGCAAGCCGCCAAAGGGGGCTCACTAAGAACGGGTCCTCAGAAGCTGTCTAATGCTACACTGTTAATGAGCAAAGAACGCAAAGAAATTGTTTCGTTTGACATATTCAACCGCAGAGATTAACCTGATCAATCTGAGAAAGCTCAAGACAAGGGAAAGGCAGAGGAACGGCAGGCACAAAACACTGCTCCCGCTGAGGCGATGACCCATACGATCATCAGCTTGAATGAAACCCACTCATTGTTGGCCCAGCAAGTCCGTTGACAGAGGTTTTCATTCCAGGAGCTGCTACAGTAACATTGTCGAGGAGAAAGTAAGGTGCACTGGCGGGCGAGCTGGAGGCAGTGGGAGTGGGAAGACCAGGAGCAGTCCAAAGCACAACTTGCAGCAGTGGAGACGAATTGTTCTATGGGCGCATCGGCGATGGAATATAAGCGGTCCTTCCGCGTCTCGTGAAGGCTTTGTGCCGCTACTATGGGACATTTTAAATGCGGCTGGCAGAAGCCAAACCTGGTGTTCGTACTTGGGCAAGTACTGTTCCTTTTGCTGCCCACTGTGTTCACAGACAGAGGTTCTTCAGCGGCAAGCGCAAGGTCTTCAGTGCTGGCAAACTGTAGTCAACGTGTAACCTTAGAATATGGTAGTGCAAGGCCCTCTGCATTTTTGCTTAGGGCGCAACATAGCCCATGCCTAGGTACAGTAGGGTTATTAGCTGCATCGCACCTGCGCGAGCAGGAAGAGCACTGGCAATTTTATGGTGGGCCTTGTGCTAGAAGAAGATGCCCCAGGCGCGGCAGCAGCAGCCGATCAGGGGAGACTCGACTATGGGCTCGAAAGGTAGGTGCAGTACATGAGTACTCTAGACGACCGATCAGACGATGGTTTCCTCTGGGGCACTGCTAGTGAAATGACTAGGTAATCAGATGGCAGCAATAGTAGAAACTGTGTAAGTAGAGTGCGCTGTTGCCCGCCGAAACTCGATGCAGTTCTTGAATCTACGAGACCCTGAGGAACCCCGGCCAGAGTTGCAGGACTTGCGCTGGAAGGACTCAGAGCCCAAGGTAGGCCGTACAATTCCTTTACATGGCTCACAGCACTCATTTCCCACTCTTCAGTTGCAGCGGTAAGGGCAAGTTAGCTCAGAACCAACCGAGCGGAAAAAGCGAAGCTTCGAGCCTGTCTGCGAGCACTGCGGGTATACGCTCAGGTGGAGATTTTGGCCCTGAAGGTTGGGATGACAAGTGTTTTTGCGTCAGATGGAACCACAGAGCCTGCCACTTTATTGCAAGTACTTCCAGCTACAATTGTCCAGTTTCTTGAGCACGGAAAAGCGCTAGTGGCATACGGTAGGAGATAAAGGGTACTTCAACTAGCTCGCAGCTTCTCTTTAACTTTAGTGGACAACATGGAGCATACAGATTGTCATTCAGGGTCGGGGAGGCACACATATTCCTTGAAAGACCTCATTAGCTCGTCACATGAAACCTACGTGCATCTTACCTTGAACGCTTGCGGATGCTCGTTCTCATGCACTGTCATCCAGTAGGTCGCCTGTGAATTCCAAGGGAGTGATCGTGGCATTTGATGTGAATTTTCTTGTTTTGCTATTGCGCAGATGATCCCCTTCACAGTCACCGCTTCCTGCGGCGATCCGTTCTCGGGGTTCTTCAACGTGTGGGAAGCAGCGGAAGCGGCACCAGTACTGCCGGAAGCAGCAGTAGAAACAGCATCAGCAACAGCAGTCTAGCCGCGATATCTGCACAACCAGCTGCGGATTACGTCTTGGGGCAGATTTTGGATGTGTCAGCTCTTGTGGGAGCTGCGCGGGTCAATGTAAAGGGGAGGCCGAAGAAGAAGGGGTTTGAAGGGGTAATGCAACGACACGGCTTTAAGGGGTGAGGCCAGTCTTCTAAGCGGCCCTTCTGTGATTTGCCGTGGTGAATGTCAAAAGAAGTACGCACCCACGAGCGTATTGGGTAAAAGTATTTGTATATCCATGCTACGAGGCGAGTAAGGAGCTTTTGGCTCATGCGCTTGTTCCCATGCCTGAGATGTTTCCCCCTGCTTGGAGAAAACCTCGAATCTTCCGGGCCGCAGCGCGCACTGCTGCTCTGAGATGCGGCAACCATGAACTTTTGGTTTTCCTTATGCGGAAAACTACTTGCAGGGGACCTGCTACACACGGCTCGAAGCATCATAGAGGTCCTGGTTCTATAGGAGCTGGAACAGACCCCGGGCGTGTACTGCCGGGCTCTCGAATGGCGGGAAGAGATCCGAAGAAGACAAGCACAGTGAGAGATTTACTGCTCTTGGGTATAAACATTAAGAATAATTCGCTTCTGGTGAGAGGTGCGGTGCCGGGTCACTCTGGAAAGACAGTTCTTCGAATTCAGTGGAACAGGGCGCGGGAGCAACAGCTAGAGCTGCGGCGACGCTTAGATGAGGCTGCAGCAGAGGAGTTCCTACAGCATAAGAAGGGCCGCCCCACATGAAAGAACAAGTATTGCTTATGGTGACTTCGTTGGAGCTACACTTCATTCGAAACTCGAGCTGCAGGAGCAGCTTCGGTGCCAGAATCAACTGTAGCAGCAACCAAGGCGTACACTGAGGTGCAGCCTCCTGCATTTTACTGTGATGCATCTACAGGGTCGACGTACTGCAGCCGTTCGGGCTGCAGTGGGTGCAGCACTCGGTAGCAAACTTGATCAGTTCCACATGGGACTTCGGTGTGTGTGGCGCCGCTTTTTCCCGTGTATGCGTCTTGAGGTGTAGTTCTAACCGCTTGTCTCTTTGGTCGGCTTGTTACTCGCTAGTCAGGCTTGTTACTCGCTAGTCAGACAGCTCGTTCTGCCATGACCAGTATGCTGCAGCTGTGCCAAGCTCAGTACACGCTGAATGCATGGCAAGCTACGGAAATTTATCTGTACAAAGATTGACATACGTTGAGCACGGATCGCGGTAGCCAGGGCCCTTGTTTAACAACTTAAGTGACTGAACACGCACATTGAGAGATGTTCCGCAGACCACTGCGAACACTGAGCTACGACGGCTGCCGCTCAAAAGCTGTTCCTCTTAGCCTTGTCTAAACTCTGAACCCCTGCTGTGGCCGCACCCGGCGACAGCGCTGCAAGTTCCACTGCTGTATTTCCCTTCAACCCCGCAGGCTGCGCCAGAGAACCACGTCTTAGGGGCCGCGCGCCCTCAGGAGCATCGCCTCCTCGAAATTGTGAGCTGGTCGGTGCTGCTGTCCCGGCATTTTCTGTGGTACAAGCCACTTGCCCTGGACTTCTGTAGGCCCCCTGTGGTCCTTCCTCCGCAACTGCAGCCTCGAAAGTCCCTCCGTCGCCGTTTCTCTGAACACAGGCGACCAATTCGCCGTTGCCAGGTACATCTAGGTTTCCAGCACTTCCTGCGGTAACACAAACAGCGATTGCTGCTTCTGCAGGCCTTAATCGCAGCGCATCCAGGTTTGCATTTTTACGTGGGAGCTGGTCTTCCACTCTGTAGTTCCTAGTACGGGAAACAACCACACCAGGAGCTGCATCGACGGTTTTTGCTTGTGCGCTGTCCTCCACGTCGGCTGAGACGATGCCAGCGGATGCAAGGAGATCAGAGTGGTGCTGCGCCTCCACCAGCTCGCCACTAAGTTCTGCTGTGCGACGCTGCTGTCGTGCCATTTGTTGTACTTCCGGATGGTGCTGAGCCACCAGTGGTTGCCTCAGTTTTAGGGTTAATGCTACTGAGCCGGAGGCCCCTTCCAACACTGATTCCTTTTCCTGGCGCACCAGCTGCTGTTGAGGTGCCAACTGCTGTGCAGCCATTACTGAGTGTTGCTGGTCCCTCTGGACGTTTTCCGTTTCTTCCTCCGCTTTCGCCTCTTCTTGTTCTCTCGACGTTGTACAGCCTTGCCGCCAAGTGACCGTGGTTGGTGGCTCTAAAGGGTGTTGTCGTTGCTCCAGCATACGCTGTTGCTGTTCCACGAAGCTCGCGTTCTGTTGCTTTAACGTCTTCTGCTGCATCTGACCCCGCTGCTCGGAAAGCTGGTCGTGTTGCTGTTCATCCACTCTTTGACCGGGCTTCTGCAACAGCCTATGGTCTCCACATTCATGCCCCTGTCTCTGCTCCCGCTGTACGTGCTGGCATTGGTACTGTTGCTTGTGGGAAGAGGACCCTCTTTCTAACTGTAACCGTTCAGAGCCTACAGTCAGGTAGTGATCCCACGTACGATGCTTTGACTTCTGCAACAGCTGAGTTTCGTTGCAATCTAGCTGAGTAAACCAAGGGGGCAACTGTACAAGGCTGGCGGGAACCACCTGGGAATTTCCCCGTCGCAGCGAACGACTTGTTGGCTTCGGTGGCATCCTGTTCCACAGTGACTGATCCATCTCCCTCACACTTTGGTGTTGCGAATGCGGTCTATGCTGATCCAGCTCCTGCCCAAGCGAATACTCCTGAGTTAAGGGTCGCCGTGGTGGCTGTTGCTGCTGCAGCCGATGCTGGGTCAAATATACGGCCTCACTATGTGGACTCCAGTGACTCGGGAGTTGCTGCTGTCGCGGGTTCGGTTCTAACAGCAAACTGTTCTGCTGCTGGTCCTGTTGAACACAGTCAAATCCAAACCCAAGTTGGCCAAGTTGCACTTTGTGAACCTCTTCGCAGGAAGCAGACAAAGACAGGGACTGCTGCTGGTGTATTCGTACATTATGCTTTTTTGGGTGGCTTTCTTGAAGCCCAGGCTGGACTTTGCTCCCGTTCAAAGAGCCAAGTATACGCTGATTCTCACGCAAAAGTAATTGCTTTTGTAGCTGGCTTGTTAAGCGGTTCGTCGGCTGTAGCGGCACATCGCTGCCCTGCTGCAGCAGCCCAGTAAGCCCACATTCCCGCCCGTGAAGCAGTATTGCGTTATTCTCTTGCTGTCGCACTTGAAAATATTCCCGTTGATATTTATGGTGGCATTCTGCCTGACCTTTTGTGTAAGGCGATGGCACATGAGGTGGCTGCTGCTGCTTCGGTGGGCATTGCAGCTGCAACAGAGGCAAGGGCTGGGGGAGACTCTGCTGCGCCTGACCTAGTGTTTGGGCTTGCTGTTGCTGCCGGCAGGCTTTCGAAGACGATTCAGTGCCTCGCACATCTTCACTGCAACCTAGACTTTGTGCAAGAGGCTTCTGACACTTCGCCGTCTCCCGCTGGTGCTGCTGGAGCTGCTGCTGCAGTAACAACTGCTGCAGAAACAGGTGCTGATCACCCTGATGCGCGCTTTGCTGGTTCTCGGAGATGATTGACTGTGTAGCTTCTCGTCTTGGATGGAGAACTGATTCCTGTAAGGACATCGATGACTCCAGTAGAGAAGTCGTTGCCAAATCATGAAGGCTGCAGGGGAAATTCTTGTAAAGCGGCACCTGCCGTTGCTCTTGATCCTTGGTACGGCGTGCTGTTGCATTACTGGCAAGTTGAGGGACGTTTCGGAGCCATCTTTGCTGCGTCAGTGCAGGTTCATCCTTCAGCACCTGTAGGGAATCTGGAGAGTTTGGAACCGTTGCTGAAGAGATGGGCTGCTTTTGTTGTTGGCCCACTTCAGGAATCTCTACATTAAATCTTGTCTGCGCTTCTCTGTGCGCCTTGTCTTCAAGCTGGTGCACTCTCGAAGATGCGCTGTCCGTACCCCGCGTTGCGCTGTCCGAGCTCTGAAGTGGCTGCTGCTCATGCTGCAGCTCCTGCAACTTTGTGCTATGCATGGTGAATCTGGAAGTGCCCGCTTCACCCTGAGACGGGTAATCATGGTTCTGGGGAATAGGAAGTTGCCCCTGTTGCAGTAGACTCCGGGGATGCTTCTGATGCTGCTGTTGCTGTTGCTGCTGCACGTGCATTTCCTTCCCCGAATACTGTCGGCTCCCCGCTAGGTCAGACAAAAGCAACGCCTGCAACAGAGTGTTGTCTCCGCGCCGCTGACGATGCTGCTGTCCCTGTGCTTCTTCTCCATTGTGAAGCCGCTGCCATTCTTCGATAACTGCTGTGAGGCCTGCTTGGTTTATGAAGGACATAAACAGCTCGTCAGCTTCGGGAAGTGTTATGTTAATTTCCTGTGGAACTATGCGCAAGAGGGGCCAAAATGCAGCAGCAGGGAGGGATGCAGCAGCACGATCAAGAAATTGTAGCCGTTGCTGCTGTTCCTCTTGCTGCATGCGTTGCAGGACGCCTTGGGCTAACTCTGCAGCTTTACGAAAGGAAATAGCAAATACGAGCCGTCGTGCCGTCTCCCTCGCCGCTGCAGCAAAGGCAGCTGGGCACGCATATATTCGCCGGAGCTGGACAAGAGCAGCATCGACACGCTGTGCCCTGCTGCTGCACGCCAAGCCCTTCTCGTGAAACTGTCGCAGCATTAGTCGTCCCCGTAAACATGTACAAATGAGATGCAGCTGATTTCGGCAGTGACGTGTCCAAGCAGCCCGCTGCTGTTCTGTTAGGTCCTCTTGCTGGTGCTGTAGCTGCTGCAGGTCCTCCATAGCAGCTCCCTGGTGCGCAGCAAGGACCCGCAGCTGCTGAGGAGCAAAGTTAGAATACGCAATAGGAGGAGCTGGAGCTGCTTTAGCCACTGCAGCAAAGGCTCGAGTATGTACGGATGTCAGCTCCTGTTGCTGAACAAGTAGCGCTGACATGGCTGCCCTCGTTTCAGCAGCTGCAGCAAGCAGCTGATTAGCTGAGGACCTGAAGGTACAAGCTGCTGCCTGGATATCCTGCTGCAGCTGCTCTACTTGCTGAAGCACTGCTGTACGATCTGCAAACACTGACGCAGCAAAAGCGCGAATAGCCGGGATGTTCAGAAGCGAGGCTGCTGACTGTCGCGATGCTCCTGAATCGTCCGCTTCTACTGATACTGATGTAGCTGTCTTCCCCACTGTTACGTCTGCAATTTCAGGAATGGGGGTGGGAACTGTTGCCTGCCGGCGCATTGGTGACGGTGACCTCACAGAAAGGCTGCTGCTCTGCCGCCTTACTTTGAGTGGGATGCTTTCATTCGCTGCAACACGGCGGCACCTGATTTGTGAGTTGCTTGTGTCCTCAATAGGGCCTGCTGTTGCCGACAGTTCCGTCGCTCCCGTTGCTATGTCTGAAGTCGCAGGTCTACCGGCTTGCGTTGGGTTGCCGGATAGAGTGGCAGTTGTCCTCAGCTTTCCAGCAGCTGCTGCTGCAGGTAAGGTGCACTTCTCCCTCGAGACGACTGTGTGCTCAAGTAACGCTGCGTCTCCCTCCACACTTGTAATAGGGGAGCCGGGGTGCACGGGCTTTTGTTCTGGCTTCACTACGGGGGAACAGTCTCCAGTTCTTTGCAAATCTTCACGATGGGATAGCATATGTTTCCCAGACGCTGCAGATGAGACACATGAACCACCAGAAGCAGCCATAAATTCGACTGGCGAGTGCTGCGAAGAATGGCTTCCATCAGGAATACTTCCTGGAGAATGGAATGCATCCGCAGGAGGGCCTTCACCAGATATTACAACGGCCAGACTAGAAATACTTGCAGTAGGACGGACTGCTTGTGTTGGGGTTGCTGATGATTTTGTTGTAGACCTTGCTGTTCCTGTTCTTGCTGCTAGCCGCCCTGGGGTTGCTGTTGATACTGTCTCTAGTGAAGCTAGACCAAACAGCTTATCTGCGGTTGAGGTCCCTTCAAAAGCAGCCTCGGATTTCTCAGTTTCCGCACAGTCCTGCTGTCTGCTCTGCCCAGTTGCTGGGGACGCACGAGAAGTGCTATCGGTTGCACAGGAAACGGGCCCCGACCCTTGTTGCTCCTGCCACTGCATTTCGGCTTCACTTTTTAACTGCTCCAACATAAGCAACACAGGGTCTAGCGGTGTCCGCTGCAATCTGAGAAGTATTTGGTCAAATCCGATGACGAGGTCCTCCTGCGCCTTCGCCTGCTGATGCAGCCGCAACTTGAGAGCCTCAGCCCACTTGAGCGCGAGCTCCGCATGCCTCATCAAGGCATGAATGACAACATCAGCAGCCCTCTGTTGCCGTCCAAGGCGCACGTGGAGATCAGCGGCAACCGCAGCAGCATCTCGGGACATGCATAGGACAGGGACCGCTGCAATTATGTTGCTGCCGAACGACCTGAACGATGCATCACTATCAAGGAGCGCGGCGGCCCTGAGGGCTTTTAGTTCACCACTAGCAAGTCGCTGCTGAGATGGAGCCGACGGGAATCCAAATCCCGCGCTTGAGCATGCGCAGTTTAGATCAGGGTCGTGCTTCTCTCCAAGATCAATTGTGCGCCCTACGCCTAATGATACTGCGTCGCCAGTCCTTGCTGAAGAAGTAACAGCCCATGCCTGCGTCTTCTCCAATGCCGTTTTAACGTTCGAATCAAAAGCAAAGGGGGCTTCAAGTGCACTGGATGCTACGTGAAATGTTTGTTCTCCTACGGCAGTTGTTACAGCTGTTGCTTGTGCAGGCGGTGCTCGTGCTCCGCTGCTGCTGTGCCCCAAGCACAAAAGCAACTCTGGACGAAGAAAAATTAGCGACAGAGAACCCTGTAGTTGTAGGAAGCTGCTGGCGTAGTTGCCGCTGCTGCTGCCCGTGTGTTTTCCTTGCCCCGCTGCTGAGGCTGCTGCCTCCGCTGAAAGGCTCCTTCCCGTAGCCTCTACAAAGCAGAGGCACCTTTGGGGTTCCCTGCAGTCGGAAGTAGTACGCTGTTTCCCGTTAGTGTGTTTACCCTGATCTTTTACTACATCTTTATCACGTGTAAGGGGTGGAATACTTGGGAGCAGCTGGTGGATGTAGCGGTCAAGGCTCAACCACGAGCAAGTCCCTGCTCTCTCTTGGGAGCAAGACAACCCAGCATCCTGCTTTCTTCGAGCATTACTCCCAGAGTGACTATGTGGCAACACAAACCGGAACGCCTCTCCAGTCAGTGCATCCAGTAAGACCAGCTCTTTGGAGCTCTCCGACTCCCCGTGGTCGGGAGGCACAATATGACTTGGGCCGCTACTGCCACGAAAAGTACTAAGGCCCTTCATGGCTCTAGAACTGGCTATGGCGACTCCAAAAATCGTGCGTTTGCTGCACGACAGCAGCCTTTAGCTGCGCTGCAGCGGCTGTGCAGACCACCAGTTGTAGCTGCTCACTTCATGAGAACTTTCGCCACCAGCATCCCTATAAGAAGTCCTGAAGGCAATCAGTTTCGACGCAAAAGTACCTGTTCACGGACTCCTGTGAGCCTCCTGGCGTTTCTTTGTATAGCAGCGTTCGCCTCCTTCTTCATACCCAAGACAGCGTGGAAGTCGCGGGTGCTTCTCATGAAGCCTGCCTTGATCCACCTTCAATGCACCACGGCATTAAAACAACCGAAAGATACTTTTATAGTTGTTTTGCGTTAGGACGGTCAGAGCACCTGGCTGTGACAGGACATGTGCCGAGCACACCAGTGGTCAAGTCTGCAATACAGCACTTGGCACCCATATAGGCGCCCCTACTGCTGAAAACAAGAGAACAGACATATTTATTCTCTTTATAAATCTTTAGTCAGACAAGAATTTAATTTCGTTTTTCTGCAGCTGAATCCGGGTCACAATCCTCGCAGCTAACAGCGCATGCCAGTCCCCCTCCTGCCCACTGTGTGTCCCAGTCCCGTTATTTGTTACAAATCAGTGCCCTCCCAAACCACATGAAAGCTTTTGAAGGCTCAAACTGTTACACTGAAAAGGAAAGGTGAGAGCGAAGAAACTTCCTAGCCCAAAACTCTCCGGCCGTAGCATTCGACCGAGCATGGTATCGCCGCTGACGCACTATTCAAGTGAAATCCTAAAGTCGCAATAGTGGCATTGAAACAAGGGCACCTCATTGCGCCTTTGTTCAGAATATGATAGCAGGTATATCCGTGCTATCGTGCGCTGGGTGGACACAAACTTGCGAACAGGTGAAGACAAGTGACCGTTCACACAATTGTGTACTTTTAAGGAGAATGTACGCTCATCGGTTTCAAGAGGATTAAAAGTGCTCTCACGACTAGCAGACTGTGCGGGGGCTCTGGAAAGTAAAACGGGAAATGGAATAAACTTCCAAATCATAAAATCCTGAGTAATTATTAAAAAAGACCGATACTCGGTAAGTGAGTACCAAATTGTGAAGCTTGCGATCAAGCTATTCCAGAAGGACAGGAATCCGTCTAGATAGGTTGCTCGAGCCTCACTCATGTTCCAGGCACCATACCCGCAGAACGGTGTGGCAAACAGGGAAGGTTATTAAAAGGCTCAGAAGTATGGATCTGTTCGTTTGAGCGGCAAATCACTCTGCTGGACTTTAATTGGAAATGTGGCCCTATATCTATGCTGTTTCCCCTTCTTTCGTGGTAACATACGAACAGTTCTTATCCGGTAGGTATCGTTCTCATGCTGAGCAAAAGCACTGGCCTTCCCCAAGTTCTCATGGTGCCCACGAATACCCTATATGCTATAAAACCGCGCCTGAGCGCATGTTGGCTAAATTGATCTAGCAAATTCCACATGTGTAGTACATGTACGGATACTCGGCCACTGCTGTGTTGCACGAACTCCTGGGATGTTTCGTAGGAAAAAAAAGCACAACACAGATAAGGCTATTCATTAATGGCCCTCCTCACTTCTTTTCCAAATGAGAAATCACGCACGCGCTAGCCTTACCGCCCACAATAAATGCGGTGGCTTCAACGCGGGAGCGTCCAGCGTAAAACCTTCTCCTCAATATCTTCCTCGTCCAACTCAAACAGGCTGTTTCGAACACTGCACTGCAGCACGAATTCGCGCTTGCCCACTACGAACCTTGTGGATGCGCCTAAAGAGCAAGCGGAACATTCAGACGGTCATCGAGGCCGTTTCAAAACGCCATGTTCAGCTGCAGCTGCCGGCAAGATATTTCACGGTAGCATATACTGACAAGGCTCTACCGAAGGCTACAACAGGTGGCTTCAGCAAGAGAAAATGAACGGAAAGCCTTAATATCTATGTGCAACATATGGCTTACGTAATGTGTAGCGCGCCTCTGCGTCCTGCATCAACGTCCGGACGTGACCAAGAAGAGAAAAATACAAGCTCCACGTGGCTGCAGCTGCTTGCTGCACAGGGAAAACCACAGCCGGAGTGGCCTTTCAGATATGATGCTGCTAGTTAATCTTGTACGGCTGTGGCAGTTTCAGACAAATGGTCTACGAAGGGTCCAGCAGCCTCTTCAGCACTACTCAGCTCGGCAAATCTGCGTTATCAAGCAGCTCACTATTCTGACTTCGTGATCTGGAGATTGCGCCTTAACCTGATAGCAGTTTCACAAGTAGAAGCGCTGGTGTAGAGCAGCAAATGCGTTCCGGTTTCAAATGATATTAGTATTTTTAATCAACAGATCGGTGAAGAAAGCAATGCAACGCAATCTAGTACCTATCCAGGAAGAAAAGTGAGCCTACTCGTTGTTGCTGCAAAAAGAGCAAACGCACACACCTACTCATGGGTTCGGTATATTAGCATACACCAGAAAAGGACTCATGAAGGAATGTGCCTGCGCCGAAGAATATGATTCAACAAAGCTCATTTGCAAACAAACAGCCACGCTGAGTTCACTGCCCACGCTGTGCTAACCACTGCGCAAGGGGCGTTGACACTTGCAGCACTCCTCACTTGCTCCATCGCAGTTACACAAATTGTGATTATACAGTGTAGGTTTTGTTGCTCTTTGGCAGCGAACATACGTAACAATGAGCTGCACGGCTTTACTGGCAGTATTCTACATATGAACTTCAGGCAGTGTCATGTCCCATCTTGTTGCGTAGACTGGCTACTGTGAAGCCTGATCTCTTATGCTTGATTTGTTTATCCTGCTGACGATGATGGGTCCCGCAGTGCTTAGGCAGTTTGTTACATCTACAAGCCCACCAATTTACAGAGAAACGTACCTCTGCAAGGTCTTTGAGGTGCATAGGGAGAGGCGGGGGGTCACGCAGTGGAGGTCGTTTTGCCTGAGGCCAGTGGGAGCACCATTGCCTTATAGAATGCCCTTTAAATTGCGGCAAAAGGCCAAAAACCATCATTCCGGAGTCGAACACAAATTTCTTTAAAACTACGGGTGTGCCGAAGTGCAACTGAAAACAATCCGTTCTGTAGATACAAGAGAGAAGAAGGCCTTTCAGCGCGGCCCCGTTTTCCACGAAAGCTACCCATCGCTGCTGGGCATATACGCAACGGAGGATGAAAAGCCTTAAACTTGAAGTGTGGCGCTGAGTAAAGCACAAAATTAACCTCGGCTTGCCTCCGTATTCAGTGATTCTCCTTCCTGAAAACATTTTGGCACCCCAAGGAAAACTTGAGGCTTGCAGTCCGTGATGTGAAGCGATGCGTCACCAGCGTCGTGCAAACAATGCACGCACATCAGCAGCACATGTGTCTAGTGCTCTGGATGTTTTCTACAGAAGCGCAAAGAAGAGGGCTTGAAGACTTGCCTCTGGGAGCTCGGCCAGTGAGGATTCGCCGAAAGACGTCTGTTCCATAGCACTCGCAAGCAGAGCATTATAAGGCATGAAGTGAAGAATTGGTAGAAGTGACCCTCTGATTTGGGTTAAGAGACAGCTCAAGGATGCTGCTAAGAGGCAGCTCAAGGATGCTGCTTGCCGAACGAGGTCCACTGAGCCACATCTGATGGCATATCTTGTCGGAATTAACAGTGCCTCGCAAGCAAGGTGGTAGTGACCCACCTCGTCAAGATTCTGCAGTAACACAAGAACAACATGTCAGGTTGCTCTTAAATTAATGCAAGCGGCTAGCTTTCAGCAGTTTTCGTGTTTGCTAATTCTACCAGAGCATGCGTGGGCATCTTGATGAAAGCTGTCTTCCTGAAAGTTTGCCACTTCGTCATAGCTGGTCTATCCCCTGGACAGTTGTCTGAATGTGCACATTAGCAGCGAAATTTAGCGTGGTGGCAGCCACTACATTCAAATTCATTTTGAACCACATATATACTGTTTGATTGATAACAAAATTTGTGTCAGCATTTACGTGCAGCTAAACGATTGGCATATTCATTCTGCGTTCTGTTATGTCATAGTCACAAAAGCCCACAGCCAAAACCATAGTCCTGAGATCCGGGGAAGAAGTCGACAAAATCTTCCGACTTAAAGCATTGCGTCTCTTGCTTCGCGGCGATCTCTGAGCGTCGATAAAGGACATATACTACATGGTAAGTTATGTGCTTTAATTGGTCTGACTAACATGGAATTAAGTGGAATGACGCTGAGACCAAGCTCTTCTAACTGCTCGTCATCACACGACCAGCGTCTCACAAAGTTAAAAAAAGAGACTGTTTTATCAGTATACTACAGGGCTAGCACTGAACCTAGCGAAAGTTGTTTTTTGCCAAGATGCTGCATACACTCTCAGTGGTACACTGAAAGGGAATACCGGTACACAAACGGCAACGCGTAACGCACTACATCCACTTGGGAAGTCAAACGGCGCCATGAATCCCTCAAGCCAGGTTGGCCGCCACTTGAATGCTGCAGTTAAGCAAAACTCGCAATTAATTACTCACGCATTTGCACGGAGCACAATGTGTAGTTTGCCAACTAAAAATGTGGGCTGCAAGCCTAATCGACGGACTGGGTCTTCTGTTCCCGTTATTCGCGAGTGGAGACAGTTCCCTGTAAATCCAGGAAAATCTCATGACTGTAACTTTTAAGCATGCAACATATACGTTCTGAATAGGCCTACCTCTGAAGACTTTGCAGCACCTTCAACTGAACTGGGAAAACTTCCTTCAGCGGATTGCTGTGTCTCTTCCGCCTTTGGCTTCGATAGTGGCTCTTCAAATACAGCCTGAAATCGCACAAATATGAATACGCCAAAGCTGCTTAGTGTGCTAGGGTGCGAAAATACACTAGGCAAAAATTGGCAGCAAGCAAGTGTTAGGTCATAAGCACAAGGCGGAAACAAGGGGCAGAGCCATTGTCTCCTCTAGCCATGCGAAAGCTTGTGAGATCCATTAAGATAAGAATATTTTTCCAAGCATCTCTTGGGGCTAATGAAAGGCGTCGCGTGACCAGCAGGCATGAGTTTTAGCAAGTGTAGCACACGACCCTACTTGGCAGCGCCTTCTCGACAATTTTTACTCATGCAAGAATAATGTCCACAGAGCAGCTCATCTACACTAACAAGACAATCGTGCATATTTCCGCCATCGTCTGAGCAAGGCAGTTCCATGGGTGACTACGTAATACCGGAGACGTGCTACGATGATGGCCTCATGCTTGAAGCCTGGCTCGTATGTATGTTCAAAGCGCTTTCTTACTTCTGCTGAGCTCCTAAGAGTGCCCATCTGCTCGGCTGCAGTCTCCCCTTCAAGCTCATCCTAACAGAAAATATGTCACAAAAATTCAGTGCGTCTCGTACATCCTCATCATGCATTTAAGTCTACACGACAACAGGCTTAGCAAAAGACTCGACCACTTGAACTAACTGTGCGCAGTGGCAGCTACACTCATATTTTGTCCTAAACACCAGCTTAGGTGACAGCGGAACTGCAAATATCATAAGGCGACATTCTTGGGGCATGCCTCTGACGAGTCTTCCTCCCAGGCTGTTTGGGGTGCCTGCGAAGCACACCAGTCCATGCCGACGAGACTCCAACTTGAAAGCCGGCGCCATGTTCAAGCAAGGATGCGCATTTGCTAACGCAGTACTACGGCGTGTGTACCCACAAGTGCCCTACGTGAAAGTAACAACTATGACACTCAAAGGTGAAGGACGAATTTTTCGTGTATATTTCCCGACGTTTCCTCGGGCCTAGCGCGCTCTGTGTCTACGTGCTTCACCATGTCGCGTTTCCCAGTGTCTGACAATCTGCCGGAATCTTTACGTGCTCTACTCCTCGAAAGCGCCAGTCCTAAACTAGAGGAAAGTACGCCCTCATCCTGAGAACAAAGGTTCCAGTCGGAGCACAGCGCATTGCAGCTTGAGCACAGCTGTTTTGGCTGCACTCATCTTCACTAATTAGCACGAACTTGCAGTGATGCATATTCATCATCTCAGCAGATGTGGCACCTAAACGTTGCTTGAAAGAGGTAATGAATTTCGAACTCGAGGGCTAGAAGGCTTTTCGAGCTTCGTGCTCGTAGGGAGGCAAGCATATCAAATAGCACTTCTAAGATGCCCGAGAAGGAGCAGCTGAATGCAACACGACTCAGGAGAGGGCTCATGGCTTGCCTCTGAGTCCGAAGACTCTGCGAACGGGTCAGCGCCTTTGTCACTCCCTGGCTTCTCATCTTCTTGCTGCGATGGCAATGCAAAGACACCCTCAGGGAAGGGAAATCATTTGTGACTGCAATTTTCCACATGAGGCAAAGAGAATTGGGGTAGTTTACAGCAGCTAAGAGCTCGTCAAATGATGGCTGAAGCAATACGACAGATCACCAGAAGATAATGAAGAACTGGAGCTGTAAAGCATGCACATTCCACGGACTGAAGTGCACACCCTGCATCCAAGTGCTTGCAAGAGACCCCTACACAGCAATATCCTTGGCAGTTATCGAAAAGCACTGATGGTGGGATTTTTAGCCACATTTTGCAACACAAAACAAATGCTGTTGCTCGAAGCTGCAGATTTCACCCTTCTGTTTCTTCTTACTAGGCTTATTCTAATAGACAGTGGACGCGACTTGAAGGCAAACTCTGCTCCTGAGTGCACCAGGGATATGGCGCGTAGCAATCAAATACCAATCATGACCTGACAACTCACCTCTTTTGGTTCATTCTGTATGGCTTGGGGCGCCAGCTCTTCTTCTTGCTGTACTAGACTTGCTCTTGATACCCGGAGAGCATGGCCCTCGCCCCTTGGTGTAACCGCCGTAGGTAGGTCCTTCTCAGCCTGATAAGAACATAAGTGAAATACTGCAAGGACACTGCATTCAGGACAGACAGAGACTGAGTGACTCCACGTCTGCTACCAGATTGCTATACTTCAGCGCGTCTTCAACGTCGTGAAGTTCCATTTCCTAAGAAGCTTCGGACTTTCGCCCAGTCCGAAAAGTGGCGCAGCCCCCAAATACAACGGCATGCCTTCTACTCCAGTGTTTAAGACTCCTCCGTGCCAGTGAATATAGCTCCTTGAAGTATCAGTATCGCACTGTGCAACCAACGCCTACAGCTTCTTGGCAAACTACACTTGGGCTATATTGATTTTATGAAGTGCACCGCAGTTGAAGATGCCACTTGCCTTATGAAGTTCCTCCCTTTGTAAATCCGGCCGCGGAGGCTGTAGCACAAGAACAGAGGCAATGCATTAGGACAAAAGAACGTGTCAACTGGCCAATTAGAAACAAGGCCTCTGCAGTGTCATGAGTCGCCCTGTATCTCGAGCTCTTCCTATTGAGGGTAAGACAAGGTGCATTTGCGAGAAAAAGCGGCAAGCCCACTTCGCTCAGCAATACGTTTCCCACACTTTCCAGCCATTTTCCAGCTACCAGAAGGCAGGCACACTGCTAAGCGCTCCTATGTAAGGTATCAGTCAAGGTGAGCAAACACCTCAGAGGGAGAAACAACCATGCAGCGGAGCAAACTCAGAACTTTTGGGAGCAGGGAATCACGGAAATATGTGAACTGAGAAGTAGCCTTGTGCACAAGGTATCGGCTTTCCTTCCGTGCAACTAGAGAAATTCCTTTTTGAGTTGCTGACAGAATGACACCACGATGTTTGTGCATGGAGTACACTGGTGAGGGAATCGGCGTTAGTAAATAAGCCGCGTTTATGTTCATTATAAATATTCCTCTGAGCTAGACACAGCTGTGCTTGCTCTGGCATTTTTTGGGCCATTAGTAAACAAGGCATGGTGGAAGGCTTACCACTGGGCCAACTTCGGTAATATCAAACTGGAAGCACAGGCCGTGAGAAACTATTTTTTGTGATCTAGTCGCTGAAAATACGAATAAACGCATAGGTACGCACCGCAGTGAAGCTAAACAGAAACACGTCGACAAAGGCTACCGAGTTGTAGTAGTTGCACAGTAGTGTCTACCGAATTGCTGCTGTCGCGTTATCCAATGAATGTGAGACTTTCATTGTGCTGCAGTAGCTAAGGGTGGCGCATAAAATTTGGCATGATGAACCGACAAACTGGAGCATAATACTTAGTCCGAAGCTCTTGTAGGACCTCCTTCGTCGCAATCTGTAAGCACGAACGCACAATCCCAACTCAGATCTTCGTGAAAACGTGGAAACCATGACAAAATGTGCCTGTAGTGTATTTGCTTCAATAAAACCAAGGCTCTTTAACAAGGTTTGATGGAGCAGGATTATGAGATCTAGCGCATCAGAATTACTGCCGTCTTTTCGCTGCCAATAAGTAGGCATTCAAGCCTATTCCTCAGACACACCGAGTGTTCTGATTTCTCTGTTTTCTTCAATTTAGGCGTCGGCGCGTCAATTCTCATTATAGTATATGAGTATTCCTATCAAGAGAAAGGACAAGAGCAAAGAGAGGCAATTCTCTCCGAGAATAGTCCTTGCCAGAGCCAAAGTAGCGGACTGCGGTGATTTGAAGCGCTGCTGCGCGCTGCTCGTGAAGCGTACCTGACATTCCACATCGAGTTTACCTTCTGCAAGATGACGGGATGTCCAGTCACTTGGCTTTTGCTTGAGAGAGATGAAACAGCGAAGAAGGACGAATGCTATAGCAGCTATCACCGCAGCAACAATTATTCTACCAAGCAAGCCCCCTATGGACCTCCTGTGATGCTCCTTAACCTCATATAAATCTGATACAACGAAATCAGTAAGAGGAACATCGTTAACCTGCGTAGAGGGGTAAGCTTGATCTGGAGCAAAATTGAAGGAACTGTCCTTCCATAAGGGGGAGGCAGCGCCATTTGCGCCCACCCACAGTCCTGCCAAGCAAGCGGCGTACACCTCAGCGATAAAAAACATGTTCGGGGGGCTCCAAAACAGCCCCATGATATCGGAACCCTCAAAACTACACAGGGGATTCCTGCAGGCCCTGACCGAGCCAGCAGGGGGTTCAACGGCGTGCCCGCGTTTTTGTGGGGAGTGAATGAACTAGCAGTAAAGAGAGGAAAACAGAAAACGGAGAGAATTCAAATATTATTTCATAGAAAGACTGAATAGAAGGGAAGATCCTAGGCTTGGGAGTGGCCGCGATCGGGTTGTTTTGCACGTGAGTCCCCGAGAGCTGCGCCGCCTTACTTGTTCACCGCTCTCTGGAGGGTCAAATCCGTACGTATTTCGCCCTCATAATCATAAATGATAATTTTATTAGCTTCCAGACTGTTTCACGCATAACGTTGTGATTGATGTATCAATGTGTACGGCGGCCAACAGCCAGTGGATCCTGCTGCTGGGTTCACGAGTACCACGCAGTAGTCGATTACGATGTTTCCTACAGTGCCAACCCTGACGTTTAGAAACATCTTTGACCTTTCAACAATTTACATACAAACTACATGCTACTGGGCCTTTTGTTTAAAAGGGATGGCGTCAGTAGACGGTAGGTCGTATAATGTGGGCTGATCGTAGGGCAGCTCCGCCGCGGTTTCGAGCTATCCCATAGCGCTTGACGCTTATCTATGTAGGTTCGCATCAGTAGCCGGTTAAATTTTCACTTACACAAGTTTTCGGTTGAATCCGAGGTGTCTAGATACCTTGTACAATACTTCTCCGAGGCCATTCCTGCAAAAATTGCACTAATCGATGAAGCCATCGGGCCCTATGAATACAGTGCATGTGTGTACATACAAAGGTAAGTCACAAATATGTGACACTGTACAGCTTTAAGCAATGTAATGAATTGTTTTCTCCATTTTTGGGGGTGCGAGGGTCTAGCTGCCCTGATGGAATGCAGCATGGCCCGTGGGGCCAGCATCAGGAGCCTGTTGCGGATGTGGGTCAGCGAAACGCTCACGCTATCAAAATTGCTACATAGAACTACATAGAAATATCTATGGCGGGCTACAGTACTTACAGAAGAGGGCAACTAGTCTGTAGCTCAGGGGGGATTCAAAGCCCACCTCGTCCACGGCTGGCAACAAAAGCACCTGAAACTGCGCAGGCTGTTTTATTTGAATTGCCAAATTCCTCATATGCTGTGCATAAGAACAGGTACATTCTTCGTGGCTCAGAACGCTGGAACAGGACAATGCGGTAGAGGTTACCTAGACCTGGACGTGCAGCCCAGGAAGCGCGGATAAGACGGGATTTTTTCTCCCAAATTCTTCTCTTATCCCTGATTTCCAAGCTCTATGCCCAGTACTCCAACGGCCGCTTTGTATCCCGAACTTTCAATTCTTGGTGGCTGCTAACAATCTGTGTGGACCAAGAAAATAATGCAAATCATCAGCAAGCACGCAAAGTCTGCACTGGCAGTGGGCTCTGCTAATTGGCTGGAGGGGCTAGGAGTTTGAAAAAAATATGTATTCTTTGCTCTATAGCAAAAGCTGTTGGGCTGAGTTAAGTCGCACTATGTTTTACTTTGAGGGAGAGAGTTAAACAGGCGGAGGAGGTGCCAGCAGTACTGCGACATGTTGAGCAATTCATTCTTGGATGCCCGTGTAGTTGGCGGGTCATGAGCAACGCGCTATCTGTGTAAACTGCTTATTGACACTTGAAGAAAGAACAGTTCAGGATAAGGAGTCTTGCTCTTCAGAGTTTAGCTGCTCGCCAATAGCCAGTGCCACTTTTGGACGCCAGCTCTATAACAAGCGGTGTCCAGCCCAATTCTTAAATAGTTCTTCTTGTCGGCCACCTAGGTGTCTAGTGGTCTTTATGGGACAAATATATCAAACTATGGGTTGAAAAATGCATATTTTTGCTCTTGTCGGGCCCTGAGTTCTTCTGTCTCTCCTGGTGTGCACACTAATGCTGTCAACATGAGTGACAATAACAGCACCAATTATTCCCCTATTTGCTGGGCATCCTAATCCTGCTTTGATTTCAAGACAGAAATGTGGGATAAATAGGATGCCGCGGGTGGGAATGTGAAGCACCGGGACCGCGGGCCTGGTGGAACTCTAAAGGACCCCAAGCCCCCAGAAGCACAGCACCGTGTAGGTCGCTCCACGCCTGCTCGACACATGGGTTTCCTTTGCTCAAATTCCACTAGATCGCAGTACAGCTTCTTGCAACTCCAGTGTCGACAATTACTACAGACAGGGAAGGCTTCCTGTCTCCATTGGCAAGGGTCTCAGCTTATTAACAGTGCCTGATATTTGGCCAACCTCACAGTGCCGCAGCTCAATAAAAGGATTAAAACACAGAGGTTGAGCTACAAAATGTTCGTCCTACTTTCCGTTTTGATTTGCCTTACCTGCGAACGTGTAGCCACGGCATGTAGCAAAGCACGCACAGCAGAAACTTCGAGAGGCGGCAACAGAAAGCGTCGCGGCACCGCCTAAGAAAGTTACAAAACGCGCTCACGATACAATGAATATAAAGAAAACAAAACCAACAGCAGACACATAATTTTCTTTCACTGCCAGGAGAGGTTTCGTTGAAGTGGGGGAAGTTGTAGCGCACAGCAGAACAATGTAGCCCAGAAGTGGCCTTTACGCCATATAATTCAGAATGTGCAGATTGAAATAATAAATCGAGAAGTGATAAACACGCATCTGAATTTAATTAACTGGCCCTAAGATCTGCTGTGCTCTGCAGCTACGTTCAGGGCTTAGGGCTGTAAGAGGCACTGAAGCTGCAGTGCAGCAGCCCGGGGGAAAGACTTGGGGGAAACAAATATATTTCTGGATATTAGGACCTACAGTGACATCGCGTGTACTCTCTGGGAGTTCAAACCTCGTCTTTAGGGTGTTGTGATATGCATAAACCTATTTTTTACCAGGACAGGAGAGACAAGGCGGGGCAAAGCTGGGCTCACCTTGCCAGATTGGCAGTGACCCTGTAAAATGCTAAAACTCTGTGCCGACGGCCGGCTCTGGCGTATCAGACGAACTTCACCTCTCTTAAATGCTTAGTAAAGTGTCTGAACTTCTAAAATATGCTTTTTGCTTTCTGTCAGAAGGAGTAAGGTAGTCAGTCATGACTTCTAGAAGTGCACGTGCGTTGGCCAGTCTTGATGATGTATGCGGGAGGCAGCGGGGCTTGGGCCACAAAAGCGCCAGGGTTGCAAACATAGGAATGCTTGAATTCGTTCTCCGTTTTTTATTTCTTTTTTAAGAAATAAAAAACGGAGAACGGAATTGAACCGTTGACCTTCGGATCATGAGCCCGATGAGCTTTATTTAAAAAAATTTTCAAATATATTACATAATGATATTTTTAAATGTATTAAAAATTTAGAAAAATATAAATTAAATACTAATTCTTTTAAATCTAAATTATATACTATATTTAAATTTTTATTATTTTTGTCGTTGTTTATGTTTAAAAATTTTACTACAATAAATATATTTTTTTTTTTGTCAATTTCTTTTTTAAAATTTAATTATATAATATTTTTAATTTAATAAAAAAATAGTATATTTAATACCTAATAAAATTTTTTTAGAATTAAATATTACAAATTTAATTTCACAATCTAATAATATTAATCCATTGTAGCACGTGTATAGCCCAGAGCATAAAGGGCTATTTTCATAAATATAATTTGAATAAGAATTTATTTCTGTAAAAAATAATAATTTTTTTTTATTATGATCCTATTGGGTTTAAATTTTTATCTACTAATACAGCAGAATTATCATTAAAAGAAATATTATATTTTTTATATAAATTTATATTTGTTTTTAATCTAATAACAATTCCATAAACTATATTAAAGCTAAAAAAATAGCTATTTTAACAAATTCTAAATCTGAATTAATATGTTTACCAAATTTCACCACATCCTCATATTCAATCACTAAGCCAGTCAATAGAATGTTCTATACTTAATTTCTTTAAAAATTTTATTATTTCTTGAAAACTAATAGAGGCAAAAAAACCAGAACAAGCTAAAACACTTTAATTCTAAAATTATTGGTATAAATAATATATATAAAATATTATCTTTAATTATAAATATATAAAAATTATGAAAGCAATAAAAAAAAATTATTATTTTTTACAGAAATAAATTCTTATTCAAATTATATTTATGAAAATAAAACATCTCAGTAAACGGCGGCTGTAACTATAACGGTCCAAAGGTAGCGAAATTCCGGATCATAAATATAATTCATTTAAAGAAGAAGATACAAAATTATTATTATTTAATTGTATTAAAGGTCTTAAACCTGAAGGTAGAAATTTATTTAATACATTTAATAAGATAAATACATTTTCAAATGCTTTGGAAATTTACGACGTAAAAGTTGCCACTGTTTAAGTTTATTATTTATAATAATTATGATTCTATATAATTCATTTAAAGAAGAAGATACAAAATTATTATTATTTAATTGTATTAAAGGTCTTAAACCTGAAGGTAGTACACCTCCTAAATATAAATGAAATTAAATTTCTTTTTATTTTTAATACTTTTTAAAACCTTAACTTATGATGTAGGTTGTTTCCTTTTATTCTAATAAATCTAAATCTGTTATATTTTTTTTATTATATTTAATATCTAATAATATCCATAATATGTAAAGCATTTGAAAATGTATTTATCTTATTAAATGTATTAAATAAATTTAAAAATTGTATATATGAATTATTATACCTTTTCATTATATTCATTTTAAATATAAAAAAATACAAATCTTCTTCAATCAGAATTATTTTCTAATTTACTTATTTAAAAATAAATATATTTTATTTAATATATCGAAGGTGGTAGAAAAAAACCATTTTTTGAAGGATATAAACCTCAATTTTATTTAAAATAACACCCTGTCGCGGTGAAGATGCGGGTTCGAATCCCGTTATTTCCGTATTTAATTATACCCTCTAGCTTTTTCTTCTGGGGCAGAATCAATTTCTGAATAACTTTTTGCTTTTGTATTATA